TTTTCTCCGGTACCGGGAACCGAACTCACGACCTTGCGCGTGCCAGGCAGGCGCTTTTGCCGCTGAGCTAAACCCCCAGCCCCTGACCTCTTATTTTTTGAGACAAGGTCTCCCTAAGTTGCCCAGGCTGGGTTTGAAGCCTCCTCCCTCAGCCTTCCACAGTGCTGGGATTATAAGCTCTGCCACCATCTTTTAAGTCACTCTATAAGAGATCTTTGCCTTGGGTTTCATTTTGTTTCTACTCAGCCTTCTGACCATGAACAGCTGTGCCTCAGCTGGGCTTGTGTCCACTACCACCTGCAGTGGAAGGAGTGGGTGCTCCCTTCTCAGCCATGGCCTAGGCGTTCCTACTCCATCACAATTGGGCTAGTGAAGAGAGTTTATCCTTAAGTAGCGAATTGCATGTGTATTACAAAATGTTTTACAAAGCATAGGTATTAACCAAAGGAAAGGCTTTTTCCTGCATACTATAAGGCAGGTAACACATTGCCCCGCTGTTTTCACTACAAGGAAAAGAAGAGAGAATTGGGCTCTTCCTCCTTCGTCTACCATCAGACTGGGCCTGAGAGCCTCTGAGGTTTTGCTGCATTTTTGGAAGAGTTAACGAATTTGCATAGTGGGACAAACCAGTTCTTGAGTCAGTTGTAGACCTCTGAGATCTGGTTTCTTCAGAGCCTTTTCTACGAGTCCAGATGTTTTGTGTTATTTTTCTCTAAAAAAGTACTCCCCTAAAATGATGCAGGAAGAGAAAAACAACTCAAACTTGGTATAATTAGCCAAATGTGTTGTGCCATAACTTCATTTTTACTGTTCTTCATGCATCTTAGAGAGCTCTAGAAACTTGTAGGAGACATGGAGATGCCTAATTTTAGTACAAAAACCCTAGACTGTTCTGGCGGGGATTCCTTTTGTATCCTCTCCACTGTGTTAGTCACACGCTGTGCCTGACACCCTGTAAGGAAATATGCTGCCTCCTGAAGTGCCTGTTATTCTGACAGTTAGCCAGGACCTTGAGCAATAAACTTCTTTTCATTATCAAGCGTTGCTATTCCTTGTCCCTAGTATGGAGGTGCTGCCTCCCTCACTAGGTGCTTACTTCTTCTGGCTACGTACCTCACTAGGTTCTCATAAAGCTGAAATGAAGTAACGCATGGAAAGAGAGCTTAGCAGAGTGTTCAGGTTGTTGGAAGTAATGCTAAGTAGTACTTCTTTTCATAGCTCTTATTGCAGAGGGTTTTGCTGTATTTGAAGCTGAAACCTGTCTCATGCTTATTTTGTGCCATGGGTCCTAACACATGGCTACTCATTTTCCACAAGACAGCACTGAAAGATAGTAGAAGATACCCATCTTTCTAAAGATGACTGTGGTGTCTTGTGCGGTGGTTCCTCCTCAAAGCTAAGGCCAGTTCCCTCAGTGTTTATTCATGACATGGTTCATGTCCCTCGCCATTTTATTTGTTTTTCTTTGAAAACTCTAGTTTGTCTAGATTGTTCTCAAAAGAGTGAAGGCCGGACTGATAGAATACTTCCAGTGTAGTCCTGTCTGCTCAAAGTGAAGCAGAGCAGACCCCTCCCTCTTCCAGATGTTCTTAATTGGTAACTCCAAGGTTGTCCCCGCTGTTGACTTAAGGGCCGGAGCCAGCATAGCAGGTCAGTGCAGAACAGGTTCAGTCGGACTGTACAAGCAGTTACTTCATGGAATTGATAGGAGTGTGTACTTCCCAGGTCCCTGTACTTCATGAATGCAGCCTGACAGGGCTGGAAGAAAGATGAAGGCAGTTTGTTGTTGAGGCAGAAGTGCAGTAGCATAGATTTCTCTTAAAACTGACTTGAAGTATGGTTTGTTCTTCATTGTAGCACGGACTTGGGAAGGTAAACCTCTTGCAGTATTTGTTTCACACACACGGGCTCCCCCCTTTTTTATTTTAAAGAGATTTTCAGATAGTGAAATTTGTCCTTTGAGTAGTTCGGCAAGTTTGGGCACAAGTATACAGTCAGGTATGCAACCCACAAAATTAAGACGCAGAACAGTTCCCTTGTCCTCACTCACCCTGGCTCCTGGCTGTTTGGTGTTTGTTGGAAGGTGAAATCCTAGGAGGTAAGAATACTGAGCAGTATACAGTTTTTAAAGGGTTCTGTTGATGTTTGGCCAGAGATATGTTTGGTGGGGTAACACAGCTTTTTCCTGTCCGAGAAGTACTGTACAGTAAAGCCTCATGATCAGTTAGTGGCCAGTTTTTCAGCTTTTTTTTTCTTCCTTCTTCTGGCTCAGTGCGACTAACCTGCTGATCAGAAAATAAGGTTTTCTTTAATTTTAATAACGTGATTGCTTTATTTCTTTACAAATTATTTTTTCAGTCTATCTTTGCTATACCTTGGTTTGAAAATTCTCAGTAAACAACCACTGAAGAATAAGAAGGCAATTAAGTAATGTCCCTTAATTACAGTTATATTGAGAAAATCCTTTTCTTGTTTGATGCATGTCTGTAATCCCAGTAGTTGGGAGGCAGAGGCAGGAGGATTGCCATGAGTTTGAGGTTGACCAGTCTGAGCTACGTAGTGAGTTCAAGTCCAGCCTACACTACAAAGCAAGACCCTGTCTCAAAAAACCAAAGGAAAAAAATTAGAGAATCCCACTGTCCTTCCAACAGGGCCTCAAGGTAATCGTTGCCTTGCAGGGTGGCGGCTTGGCCCAGCAGGACCAGGTAGTGTGTTTCTCCTCTTTGGTTCTGATCATGCTCTTCCTTGACTCTAGCTGATGCGCTCATACCCTGCAATGAAACCCAGTGGAGCCAGAAATGGCAGTCGTCACGCCCCCTGCGAAGAGCCAGTCTGTCCCTGGGCTCTGGCTTCTGGCACGCCACAGGACGGCATTCGAGTAGACGGCTGCTGAGAGCCATTCCACGCCAGGTTGCCCAGACGCTGCAGGCGGATGTGCTGTGGCAGATGGGATACACAGGTGTGTGCTGTCCACCAGGACGTGTAGAAAGGTGTCCAGGGAGGGCCTCTCTTGGGCTGCCTGGCGCCGCAGCCCTGCCACCTTATGCATCTATCCTTTTCGCAGCCCGTGGAATTGGTACTCCTGACTTCAACTTCTGATAAGTGGGGCTTCTGTTTCTGTGACTTCCAGTTGTCACCAAATGAGTCTCATTTTTGATACCATTTTTGAGGTGAAAAGGAGCAGATTGTGGAGCATTTCTTTCCTGGTGACGCAAACACCAACAAGCACAGCGCTGCTTACAACCTGAGGTGGCTGGCAGCGCTGCCGAGGCCTGTAACTTCACAGCAAGGGGGAGCATGTTCAGGATGGCCACTGGGTGCAGTGTCATGGCAGTTTGCCCGTCACTTGGGTTTGGTGCCCTGTACGTGGAGTGACTAGGTGACTGACTGTCACACTTGCTAGTCATCTGTTTTAGAACAAGAAGCAGCCGTTAATGACCGTGTCTTGTGAAATAAAACTCAAAACCAGTGAAGGTTTTCCTGTATTTAACTGACCCATCGTGGCAGAAGGTACCTGCTTTAACTAGTGTGAAAACTTTTAACCTTACGTAAGCCAGTGTCTTGCCCCCAGCTACAGTTGGTCAGGTGTCCTACCACCCCCCAGGCCGTAGAGGTCCCCTTTCCTGTGGCTTCTCAGCCCCCTGGCCCTCACCAGGTCTAAGGAGCCTAGTTTACTTTTAACACCTGGCCAGTTGACCTTTTATTAAAATAATTTTTCAGGACTGGGAATATAGCTCAGTGGAATGTGCCTGCGTGGCAAGCACAAGGTCTCAAGTTGATTCCCAGGACCAAAAAAAAGATAGTAAAATAATTGTTTCCTCCTGGCTTTTTCTTTTTATAGAGTGAGGACTTCCTCACAAAACAAGTTCTTTAATTAGAAATGCATTTTTTTATTCCTCCCAAATCGGTTTTATTTAAGTCTTTTAAAAGTGGCAATAATTTTAGTAGTTCCTACAGTGTCCTGATTGTGTAACATAGCATATTGACGTGTAAAGGACTCTCGAAGCCCAAGCCCATTACCTTCCTTGTATGAGTTCGCTGTTAAGTAATACAAGTGCCTTGCATGCTTTTCTAGATGTTTTCTGAACTGATGAACCAGTCACGTATCACACGAGTGAGATGCGTTTGGGCCAGTCTGGAGATAGGTGCACGATGGAAAAATGCACGTTGCGTTGGCTTTGCTGAGACTGTGACTGACTCTTCACAGTCCCCTTCTGCAGCGTCCGTTGTTACTGACGAGCAGCACTGAGGAAATGGCTGTCCTTGTCGGGAGCAGTAGTTTCCCCTCCTGTTTGCCGTGCCCTGCTCCTTAGCCGTGCGCTCCGTGCGTCTTTACAGGGGCTCTGAGGAGGGGTGTGGGAGGGTGGGTACCTGGAGTAAGTTACCAGAAGGGGAAGCCCCTCAGAGGTCACAACCCCGGAGCCTGAGGAGCCCACTCAGGTAGGGAGCAGTGGTTCCATTCCGGAGCATTGTTACAGTTGAGGGGCTCCAGAGAGGGGTTGCTTGTACTCGAACCTTGTTCTGCAGCAGAAGGTGGCATTTCCCCAGCTCACATCCTTTTTCAGTCTTGGCTCAGCTCTCAGCCCCTGGGACCTCTGACCTAACCTGACCTCTTGCACTCAGGCTCTGGCAGTTTCTGTGGATCCCAGGATTCTGGGCTGTGTGTTTTGTAGATAGGAGTCCAGAAAGAGGAATTTTTCAACCATGATTTTGCTTTTTTTTAAAAAGGTGCTAATGTCAGAGTTGCTGTGTTTGATACCGGGCTGAGTGAGAGGCATCCCCACTTCAAGAATGTGAAAGAGAGAACCAACTGGACCAATGAGCGGACCCTGGATGATGGTGGGTCTCAGTCGAGAGCGTTTTCCTGTTGTAATTGTACCTGTGTTATGACAGCTTTCCTGGAGCCCTCAGAGGGTGCGAGGAAGCAGGGCTGGGGAGGGAAGGGGTGCCTGGTGAGGAGAGTGCGATGGCCCACCCTAGGTGGCACTGGTGCCGGCAGGCTCGCCACAGCAGCTCCCCACCCACACTACAGAGGGTGAGTCGGTGTGGGACCCACGGTTTGGAAGGCTGGGGTTTGTGGCACACATTGTCAGCTGTGTCTCACGGGCCTCTTTTTCCTTGTGGGCACAGGGCTGGGTCATGGCACGTTCGTGGCAGGCGTGATTGCCAGTATGAGGGAATGCCAAGGATTTGCTCCAGATGCAGAACTTCATATTTTCAGGGTCTTTACCAATAATCAGGTGGGTGTTTGGGGACTCCTGAACTTAACGAGTCAGTAGTGAAATGTAAGAAGTAAAGTAGAAGAACACGCATCCCCTTTTGAAAGCAACACGTGTCTGTGACTCTGAGCCGCCTGTAGCTCACACGTGCTGCACCTCTCACCACTGTCACCCTACCTTTGGCAGGGCCGTCCTCCCGCCACCCGCTTCCAGCCTCCCTCAAACCCTGACTTGTTTCATGTCTTGTTTCATTCTCCCCTCAGGCTTGCCTGGGGCTTCTGCCTGACACAGTGATTCTGGGTGTGGATCACCTCTGTGGCCAGGTGCCTTCCACTGCAGGGTGAGCTGTGTTACGGGGCTGTGTGCCCCAGCAGTGTGCTGGGATCGGACTCGTAAGCTGTGCTCCTACCCTCTTCGTTTGGAAACCATTTGTAGAAAAGGGCAAGGGTACTACTATCTCTTTATTTTTAAAATGTAATTCTTGAGTAAGGGATACAGAGCTCAAAAATACCAAAAGGCAGCACAGTGAAGACACCTGTCTCATCCAGCAGCTTGTTCATGTGATAGTGTTCTTAATTTCTTTTACATATACAGTGGTACACAAACAATTCTTTCCATGATTCTGGTCGCAAACTGTACCTTTCAAAGCTTTTAGAAACAATTGTCAATTGCTATCTTCTTGTCTTTCCACTATAATTTTTTTTTTTTAATGTAGCTAAATGATGATCCACAAAGTAATTTAACTTATGTAAGGAAAACAGGAGGAAATGGACATTAGAAACCTCATACTGTGATAGTTACTGCTATTGCTGCTGCTGTTTGTCCTTCAGACTCTAGGTTTAAAGAATATTGGACAAACGCATTAAACTGGTTAGAAATACTCAACTTAAGGGAGTGCCTTAGGGTACATCCTTTTATAAAAGGGGCCACGGGAGGTGGAGTGTCATCCCAGAAGGTATGCTGGGTGAGAGCTGCCCATCACACCTGGAAGGAAGACACCTGTGGCACATAATCCTACTTCCTTGGGTCCAGCCTCAGGGACTTCAGGTTTCTGGGTATAGTATTGGACATTCTGGAGCATTATTTGTACTTGGGATTTGTTCCTGTTGTTAATTTCAAAAAAGGTACTAAGAGAAATACTTCATGCTTTGGAAGGTGTGTTCTTACGTTAGAAATAAAAATTGTTGGGGGATAGAGCTTAGTGAGACCTTGGGTGTGATCCTCAGCACTGCAGACAAATCAGCAAAAAGTAAAAATGGTTGTAACATCTTGAGACTTGTACTGGAACACTAAGGGGGCTGTTTTAATTTAACTAGGTATCTTACACATCGTGGTTTTTGGATGCCTTCAACTATGCCATCTTAAAAAAGATCGATGTGCTGAACCTGAGCATCGGTGGTCCCGACTTCATGGATCATCCCTTTGTTGACAAGGTTGGTCGAGTCATCACACGCGGATGTTGTACTTGGATGGCAGTTCCTGCTCCTTTGCACCTCAGCTTTGCGTCATTTCTAGTGTGCTGATGGCTTTTCACCCAGGTGGTGACAGCTTTGTGAGAACAGATGGCTAATGAATTGAGCTTTAGTGACTTGTATGTCATAAACCCAGCGGGTTAGGGACCTTGGAAGTTGGCGTTTGTAAGAGGCACCTGGTGCCTTGTTGATTGCTTCTTACCTGAACCTGCAACTTGGTTTTCCTGAGAATGGCTGGGAGCTGGGGTCTACTCTGGGTGTTGCACAGCCCTGCTTTCTAGCTGTTGTCCTCCTTCAAGCACCCTGCTTGCCGGAGACATATCTGTGGTGGCCAGTGCTGCATTTGAGGGGGCTTCCTTTCTTTTTCTGGACTGTTTGTAGAAGTTGTGGGGCTTGGGGGATAATTGCATGTTGATTAAAGTCATGTACTTCCATTCAGTAAATGTTTGCTAACTTTGTAGGTGTGGGAATTAACAGCTAACAACGTAATCATGGTCTCTGCTATTGGCAACGACGGGCCTCTTTACGGGTAAGCAGCCCCAACAGAGATGACCCCTGAAACAGCAGAAACTTCCTGTCAGTCTGTTTCAGTATGTGTCCTTGTGTGCTTGTTTATATCTCCCTAAAACTTCATTATGAGTTTTCAACATTGAAAGAATAGAATGTGTAATGAGCTCCTGGGTACTCACTATTGGCTTCAGCAGTCATCAGCTCAAGGTCAGCCTGCTGTCTAATTATTTTCTTCACTTTGCTATATATAGTCATTTAGAGTCTTAAAATTTTTATTCCCATTACTTTTTTTTCCCATTACAAATCAGTCAGGAAAGTGAATCTGTTAAAAAGAGATTTTGAGTATCTATTGAGACCATTATGGGCAGAATGCGGGGTGAGGGAAGGGGAGGGCAGTAGAGGAGGTGTTCCACCTTTCCAGGAGACATCAAATGCAAACACAGTGAATCCAGGGGAAGGAGCAGAGGGTGCTACTCTTGGAGGCGCAAGTGGGGTGGTCAGTTAGGAGCGCAGTCACAAGTCACCGGCCTTTGTGCCAATTGCTGTAGGTTGAAGCTGCATAAGAGGTGAAATGACCCCACTGACACAGCCAGCAAGCTTTGGTCTGATTTGCAATCCCAAGTCTCTGGCTGCTTGCCGTTCTGATCTTGATGCTGCAGAGAAGGTGCATAAGGACTTCTTATGCCACCTCTTTTGGAGGAGGATGTTGGTCACTGTTCTGTATTGAGTAGAGAGGATGACTGCAGTTCGGTGTTGTGACAAAGTGTCTGAGGCAACTCAAAAGAGAGACAGTGACCAAGGGTGTGTGCACATGTGCCGTGGCATAGTGGAAGAGAGAGTGTCTGCCTTGTCCCTGTGTGTGTGCTTCTGGCTGGACATCCTGGGAGTGCTGCTGGGGGAGAGCAAGTCGCCTGAGGGCTCAGAGCAGTCAGACAGTTGAGGCTCAGCTGAGGCTCAGCTGTATGAGGTTGATGTTTATAGACTCAGAAAATAAGGCTGTCAGCAGTCACATGGTCCCATTCTAGTTCAGCAAGTAACCCTGTCCTCTTGAGAACGGTCCTGGCTTCTGGCTGTGCTGTGCCCCCGCAATATATGTTGTGATTGGTAGAAGTAAGCACAACAGAGGTACCTTACTTGTAGCTCTTCTGTGAAAAACACCAGCTCCTGAGCCTCAGATTGTAATGGCAGCAGGGCTGCAGCTGCCCTCTTTTCAGTATCAGTAGCAGTTTCCTTATTGCCAAGCCCTCTGGATGCTGAGCATTGCAGGAATTGACAGGCTGAGGGAGGCTGGGAAGGTGGGGATCTCTTGCTGACTTCAGTGGGTGTTCTCTCCGTGACTCCTGTCGTCATCTTTGATCCTTGCATGTGTGGAAATTGTGTACTTCTTGCATCAGCTGGTGCAAAACCATTCTGGCTCCCCTGAATGGCTTCCTGGTAACATGTTGGCAGCCAGAGAGCTCAGAAGGCAGAGCAAGTGTTGACTTGGTGTGGTTTGAAGGTACTAGGTACAATCACATGCTCTAGAATCTTGTTGCTAGTATTTCTTAAGCCACTTGGGCTCAGTCATAGTTTACAAATTGTTTGAAAATACAGTATGTTTTTTTCAATAGCAGAGCTGTAATACAAAAAGCTTAGAAATACAGTTTTGTGCCAAGCATGGTGGTGCACTCCTGTAATCCGATGGCTCAGGAGTATGAGGCCCGGAGGATTTCTCAGAGTTCAAGGCCAGCATGGATTGCAAAGTGGGTTCAAGGCCAGTTTGAATTACATGGCAAGACCCTTCCTGTCTCAAACAAAAACCAAGCAAACAAAAAGAAAAATGCAATCTCATATCTGATTAGTTCATTTGTTCAGATCAGTTTCATCTTGACCTGAAATGTTTTTTGTTGTAATTCATTTTACTCTAGCTTCTTTGAAGATCGAGTGCACTTGCCCAGGGACAATGGTCTGGTTTTCCTGTCTGTCTTTCCTTTAAACACTTGGGGTTGCAGAGTTATAGTGGCTACTCCCATGTGCTTCTGAAGTTAGACACACTGCAAGAGGGCCATTGAAAGCTTCAGCTTTTGGCCGTGGCATTGCAAATGTGTGCTTATGGTACCTTACCAGATTCTGTATAATGTAGTTGAGGAGGCAAGAAGGATGCACTTGGAATGATTGAAAAGTGACGTGAGAATGTGTAACTAGGTGGTGCAGTGTGAATTGTGACGTGACCTCCTGGAAGTGCAGGGCCAGGGGCCTCAGGGAACTGGGGGAGGTGAGGGACAGTGAACCTGGAGCTGGGCCTGCTGCCAGCAGTAAGGCACTGATGAGAAGAAAGCAGAGGTGTTCTGTTCCTGGTGAAAGGACAGAGACTGACGGCAGTGTGGAGGTGGCAGGAAACATGGCACATAATAGGCAGCTGTGAGGAGCAGCAGCAGTGTGTTAAAGCTGAACAAGTCTTGTCATGGAGGACCTTTAGGAAAGCCTTAGATTTTTCTGAGCACATTGCCCTTATTTGAATTATTCACTTTAAATTATTTCTCCCCTTCCCCTTTTTGTGTGTGTCTCAATTTAGCACTCTGAATAACCCTGCTGATCAGATGGATGTGATTGGAGTGGGTGGCATTGACTTTGAAGATAACATCGCCCGCTTTTCCTCCAGGGGAATGACCACCTGGGTATGGTTTTCTATTTCACATGGCCCCTGGAGCCATAGGTCTAACACTTCGCAGGATTTGTCAGTGCACAGATAGAGAAGTAGCTTGTGACGCAGACCCTCATCCACAAGTTGGTAACTAGGGCTGGGGGTTGAGCTGTCACGAGGACCAGACTGGCGAGGCTGGTGAGTCCAGAGCCACCTCACAGGGCATGGGGCAGTTCTGAGCAGTTCTAGTTCCACTCTTTAAAATCTATTTCCAGGTAACTCACATTTTAGGTGAGCTAGACTCATACTCACTTGTCCTAACCAGTAGTAGGAAGATGAACAGTTCCCTCAGTGCAAGGTGGCCTGAGGAAGTAGAAGCCTACTTTGTAAGAATAGCTTGATAGCAACTTTGCTAACATGGCAATATGTATGTAGTTGTACATATCAAAATGACTCCAACAAATAAATAATTCAACTGCTTGGGGTTTGATTATGCATCCAGTTCACCTCCTGTACCCATCAAAACAAAGTTTGATTCCAGATTAGGTGCTCCCTTGGAGAAGAACACTGGGAGTTTTCCCCCTGGCTAGGGGTAGCTGCCTCCCGGAGTTCTTTGGGGTCAGGTCCTCTCTGGTTGCTCTGATTTAACATGTGCTGAACTCCAGCCTCAGGTAAAACCTCAGAATGATTCATGGCTTCCTGGGAACATTTGGGCTAGGTCCACACCTGCTGCACTCTGGCATAGGGGCATAGTCCTTGGTGTGAGTTCAGGACAGTGGTGGCTCTTGGGTGCCCCCTTTCTTCCCACCCTGGGGCTGCACACCTCATGGAGTTCACTCCCCGCTCGATGCTACAGTTTGACCTCACTGACAGGCAGGGCCGCGTGCTGTGCCCTCTCACCTGTGCTCCTCAGCACGTCCCCTGTGCTGTTGCACACCAGGGAGTGGGGCATCTGCCGGTGTAAGTCTGCAGTGGCCCCTGCAAACGCTGGCACTGCGCTTTATGTGCTGTCATGGCCCTGGCCTTCGTCGGGCCTTTTGAGAAATGTTCCTGAAGTTATGTAGAGCTGTGGCTAACAGTGTCTTCCCCACAGCCCCATGACAAGGAGTGATCGATCAGAAGACATAGCAAATGTCTGAACATGTTGCAGTGAAAGATACAAAGCTGTTAATCCCTCTCAGAGTATTCCCACTCACTTTCAGACACACCTACCCCGTCATTCTTGCCACTCTCTGAAAGTCCTCTTCTGTGCCTGTAAGAGGTATGATCAAAAATAGGGTGAATGTACTGCTGAGGGTCTGCCAATGGAAGGCAAACCCCTAAAACCATTACAGTGCATCCTTAGCTACCTTATTCACAGACCGGACACTGAGCAACTGCTGGCTTCTCCTGAAAGGACTGTAAAAGGTGAACATTTTGAATTGATTCAGGACACTGAATCAGGCAGTACAACTGAAGACACAAAAGATGTCTTCTAGAACTTCAGGAAGCGGGAAGGGCGATGGGAGGAGGGTGTGCAGTGTGAGGGGGTTCTTGGCAGTGTGTCTTTACTGTAGAAAGTGTAAAAGCAACTTTTAAACATTCGCCTTAGCTTTTGATCACGTATCATAAGTGTTCCATGTTTCCTTACTGATTGATGGGCAGGGAAGGTTTTTCTGTTCAAGTCAGTATACTTTTTCACAACTGAACATAAGATCCTGTTGTACTTCTCATTTTGCCCCAGTTTTCAAGGAGCTTAAGAGAATATTTAATTAAATCTTATTGCAGGTTAGTCATGAACCTTCTTGATCGTTCTGAATGTTTTCTTCCCCCTTTGAAACATCCAGTCATAACCATGTACTTTTTTCCTTATAAAGAAATACTTTTTCCTAATCTTCAATTTTCTAATTCTTCTAACGTATTTCTAATTTTTAATTTATCTAGATAAAGCAGTTTCCAGTTTCTAGTCTTAATGATAAATCAGTGACTAGTTTTTGGTCTTAAATGTTAGCAGACGTAAAATATTTACTTTTGATTGCTTTATGATCTTATTTTACTGGTTGTATAAAACATTCTAAAAATAATTTTTTTTCTACATTATCACCTAAGCTTATTTCTGATGTGCACTGAGTTTCAGACCCAAACCCCTACTTTCCCCAAGTGACACTCCGTTGAAGTCCCTGTGTTTCTGTTCTGCTTTTATTCCCTCGTGACCCCATGTGGCCATGTGCCAGCACACGTGATGGAGAACCTGAGTTACTCTTGTCTGTAGGAGCTACCAGGAGGCTACGGTCGTGTGAAACCTGACATTGTGACCTACGGTGCTGGAGTGCGGGGTTCCGGTGTGAAAGGGGGCTGCCGGGCCCTCTCGGGGACCAGTGTCGCCTCCCCGGTGATTGCAGGGGCCGTCACCTTATTGGTGAGGTGAGCGTTGCGCAGCCCAGATCAGCCACCGCAGCCTCAGGACCGGGCACTTGGTGTCTGTGCTGGTGGGTGTGAGGGTCGAGGGCTCCGCACAGCAGTCTCGCGCTGCCTCTGCCCCTCATCTTTCCAAGAGGGTGGGGGTCCCCCCTGTGGTGCTTCAGTGATGTGTGCCCAGCGCACTTTATCAGCTAGGGGGAGCCGTAGGGCCCATGCAGGGAAAACAGCTATTACTCCTGTCGTGGGTGCATTTTTAATACATTTATCTGTCATGTGTGATGTTCACAGATGTAATCCCAGCAGTGGGGAGGCTGAGGCAGTAGGATCACTGTAAGTTTGAGGCCAGCCTGGGATACGTAGTGAGTTCAGGGCTGGCCTCACCTATATAGCGAGAGCCTATCTCAAAGAGAATTCCCTAAAATAAAAATAAATTTGGTTTTATTTAAAAATAAAAGTAAATGTGCTGGAGCTGTGTACATATCAGGCAGGGAGCATAGAATAAGCTGTCTCCCTGCCTTGCCCTTGGGGTTGTACCTTTTATTCAATTTTATTGTGTGTTTAAGGTGAATAGCATGATGTTATGGGGCACATACAGGTAGTGAAAGGTCTCACTAGTGAAGTAATTTAACATACCTGTCTACTTGCGTATTTGCCCACTCTTGTTTTAGGGCAGGGATTCTCTTCCGTACCCTTAGCTAAGGGAGGCCAGTCAGGGGCTCCTCGTGGGGACAAGTTTCCCTGTGCTGTTTGTACTCTCTCATTAAACCTCGTAAAAGTTGGAACAGAGCTTAGTCATCGGCCCTTACCTTTTCAGATAAGGGAACTAGAAGAAAGTCCTCAAACATAGACCAGCTTTGAAGCTCTTGTGCTTTTAGTCATGTGGGCCTTGCTTCCTGTTCTCAGAGTTATAAAAATTATCTTTGGAGCTAGCGTTTACTTGTTACAGTACATTCCCCAAAATTAATCTTTTTCTGTCTAGCTGAGGTTCTGTTGTGGTAACACAAAACTCTGCATATTTGAAATTTATAATTTATGCTAATTAAGGAATTAAAACAAATGATATTAAATATTTTAATATTTAAAAAGCTCTGTAAAAATAAGTGAATTACATGTTGATTTTTAGCCTCTAATGCCAGAGATTATCAGTAATCTCTGACAGAGGTAGCTATCTACCTCTTGCTCCAGCCTTCCCTCACAGGCCAGAGCCAAATTCTTTCAAAGGTTGACATAGGCCAGAGTATCTCTGGAGACTAACCTTGTGCCGACTAGAAATTCTCTGTCCCTCATGCGATGTAAAAGTGGATTTGCCAAAGGGAGAGAATTCAGCTAAGGCTCCTTTTTTCCAGGCATCTTGGTTCTGGAAGTGGAAAACACGAGTCCATTTCTCCCACTCGTGTGATCATTAGCAGAGAGTGAGGGTTCTGGCTTCCCCGCTGAGCCCATAGCCATCTCCACTGGGAAAGGGGGGATGAGAAGCCTGTGTATTCCACTCTAGGCGCAGCTCTCACGGTGGAGGCCTTTCACTCCCTATATCCTGCAGCAGATACAATGCCGTCCTAGTGTTCAAAACTGCTTTGTGTCCTTTAAAAAAAATGCTCTGTGCCTTGACAGTGGCTCGTGGTAGATGCCACACAGCAGGGAAGTGGAGCCTAACCTTCGGATTTGCTTTATAGGCAGGAAGAGGAGGGGGATTGCTGACCTATAGCTTTTAAAATTTATTTTATACCATTATTACGAATTAGTCCTACTCTATTTCCTCTAAGTGTCCGATTTCCCACTTAGAAAGCCTGCCTAGACTTGGAGCCCAACCACCATCATATAAAAATAGTTAGGGACTTGGGAGAGTAAGTTTTCCTTTTTTCCCTTCAAATTTTAAGGAGTAAAATTTACTTGCATATAATACACAAAAATGAATGTTTTAGTGCTAGAGTTAGCCAAGTTCCTGGCCAGGTAGATCTGTGTGGTAGTTTGCTTAGGGGAAGCGTTTCAGGCGCCTGAGCCAGCATGTTGTGAACCTGTGCCCCGGAGCGATTCATCCCTTAGACCAGAGCTCACTGCGCCCTCACCGAGGCCCGTCCCCATGTCACCCTGTCCTCGTCTCCCAGGTGGTTGTCTCCCTTTCCCAGCAGCTCTCCCCTCCCTTGGAGAGTCAGTACCTCCTTGATGTTCTTGCCTCCTGGCACCTGTGTGGTTTACTTAGGTTTATAAACTGGAAAATACATGTTACTCCTAAACTTAGCATAGACTTAGCCCACCAGGCATTGCTGAGGAGACGGGTGTGCGGGGTCTCTGGGGGTCAGTCCGGAGAAGTGCAGCTGTGAGTTGTTTTGTGAGTTCCGTCTCATGGAGCACGAACAAGGAACGCTCATTAGTTATAAAATAAGACCGGAAACTGACTTTCACTCGTCACGGAGGGAAATAACAAATGCTTGGTTTTTCCCCCAGCACAGTCCCGAAGCGTGAGCTGGTGAACCCTGCTAGCATGAAGCAGGCCCTGATCGCGTCCGCCCGGAGGCTGCCTGGTGTCAACATGTTCGAGCAAGGCCATGGCAAGCTAGATCTGCTCAGAGCCTACCAGATCCTCAGCAGCTACAAGCCCCAGGCCAGGTTGGTGTGCGGCCTTCGCAGCAGCCTCGCTCCCTCCCTGGGTGCCCGTCTCCTGTGCTCCCGGGACCTCGGCTCACGCAGCTTCGCTGAGCGCCCAGCTGTGGCTTCTCCCTGGCTGCTGGGGAGCCAAAGTCCTGTTACCGTTCACAGAAGTATGTAGTTTGTTGAACTTTTTAAACTTCTAAAATAATCCTAGGTTCACAGACATTTTGTAAAAAGAGTTTTCAGTTCCTATTTGCCTGGCTTCCCCAAAGGCTGACATCCCCATGGGGCGTATTACAACTGTTAAAAGTATTGTCACCGTTGGTACAGTGCCGTCCTCCCGTGATCTGCAGTCACTCACACCTTGAGTTCTACCTGTTCTGTTTGTAGGCGTCATTGTCACTGAGACACAGTGCCTATCACCCGCAGCTTAGAGGAGGAGAGGTTTAATTTGCTCGTAGTGTCAGTCCACAACCCACTGGCTCCCCGAAGGAGATGTCGTGGTGGAAGAGTGTGATGGAGAAAAACTGCATAGCTCGGTGCCCAGCAGCAAGCAGAAGAGAGTGTGAGAGGGAAAGTGGGCTGGGGCCAGACAGACCCGAAGGCCGCATCCGCAGGACCCACCAGACACAATCCCCGCGCTCAGTACTGTGCCCCTCCTATTTCTTGTGTAGTTCGGGGTCCATGCATGCCCCACATTGCACATTGTCATCATGGTCTCTGACTCTGGCACGTCATTTTTTTTTTTTTCTGTCTAGTACTAGGGATTGAACTCAGAGCCTTTTCACTGAGCTATGTCCCGGTCCTCCCTTTTACTTTTTATTTTATTGGTACGTTTTAGATACACATAATATTCATCATAGGGATCCCAGCCCTTTTTTACATTTTTGTTTGGAGGTAAGCTACATCTCAAAGTCACTAATTCATTAAGTTGCCTAGGCTGGCCTCTAACATGCAGTCCTCCTGTCTCAGCCTCCTACAGTGCTGGCACTGCAGGCGTGCGCCACCATGCCCGGCTACTTCATCTGTCTTTTGTTGTATTCCTGACCTTGACTCTTAGGGAGCATGCCAGTCACTTACTTTGTAGACTCTTGGTGTGAGTTTGTCTGTGTTTTCAAATGAAGTTACTTCTTGTTCACTAAGAATTGTTTTTCACTTTTTATTTTAAAATGATTTTGGCCTTACAGCAGAGTCCCAGAAATAGTACAGGAGCACCCGTAAGTCCTTCGCTTAGCTTTCCCTCACGTCAGCAGCTCCTGTAACCACGCTAGCAGCCTCGTGGCCGGGAGACTCACCGAGTTGTGCTGGCGACAGATCTGCAGGTTGGCTTACCCACTGCTCCACGCGGGCCCTGCTTCTGCTCTGGGATCCCACAGCGCACTCAGTTGCCCTGTCCCCTTCGTCTCCTCAGTCGGAGCAGGGCCTCTTTTTCTTTGTCTTACTGTAGTGCTATTAATTTTCAACATTAATGAAGATGATGTATCCGACCTGGTCCTACTGGGAGGAGGTGCCAAGATAGGCTTAGGTGGCCAAGAGAGGCACTGGTGTGTGTATGTGGGTACGGTGAGGGCCAGGGCAAGGCGAGGCAGTGAGAGTTTGGGGACTGGTACACTCTGTCACCTGTGAGGGGCACAGGGGAGAAGCATTGGTGAGGAGGAGCCACAGGCCGCAGCACAAGCCGGGAATAGTTCGTAGATGCCAAGAAATCCTGGAACGGAAGCTGCCCCGTGAAGGAGCGCTGTGTTGCTCTGCTCTGTGCTCATCCCCCTGGCCAGGAGCAGCCCAGAGGAAGCGCGGCCTAGGCGCTGCAGGGCAGGGTGGTAGGGCCGGGCTGCAGTGGGAGGGTGGCGGGCAAGCTGCCGTGCCTGTCCTCTGGACAGCTTCCGTTTTCGCTGGTGACTGCTGTGTGCTCTTCGAGATGATCCTGTTCTCAACAGCTTTCACTCCCTGATTGTAGCGTCCACTGACGGCCTCTGCTTGCTGTGGTTACTACTGAGGAGCTTCTGTTTCCCTCACTCTGCACTTCCTTCCTTAATAATTGGAATTGTGCAGGAAGGAAGAGCCGTTTCTCTGCTACTTATTTAATTACTCAGTTGTTTATATTGGTGTGGCTATTTATCTTATTCTATAGATTACAATCCGTTGCTCTCATTGTTTCATTTGTTGCTCAGGTTGTCCTAGCCGTAGCTGGTGGGAGCCTTTTCATTGGCTTTTGTGTCTTTTTAGCAAGTGTCCTCATGATTTTCTGAGCATTTTCCTTCCTTGGCAGCAGACAGCGCTTCACCAGTTATTCCATGCTCCAGCCGTGGGTTCAGTTCTTCCCTCTAATTGGGGAATGATGCAGTATTTAGAAACCAAGATGTGGGCAACAGGTGTGCTTGTAGCTGATGCACGTACACGCACACGCACACATGCACACGCATGCGCCCTCTGTGCCTATTTCTATACCTCCATCTGTGTGTAGTTACCTAGAAACATGTCACACCTTCCAGCCCACACCATCACACTCCTTCTAGCCTTCCCATTCCTGTTCGGTGCTCCTTTCTCCAACAGGGAGAAGCCTGGCTCTCACCAGCTCTCTCTCTCTGTGTGTGTGTGTGTGTGTGTGTGTGTGTGTGTGTGTGTAATTTGCATCCTCCCAGTGTACACAGTGAGTTGTTTTAGAATTGCTAACCCATACTCTTGTGAAGAACAAGTTTATTAACAGAAGTATAACATTTGTGACTAGTGCTGGAATTACAGAATAAAGCCATGCTGTTTTCTAAAGTTACTTAGGTTAAATCTTTCTGCTGTTCATTTTTAATATAGGTGGGCTCATTGTGGTGTTTGTATTCCTTTCTGGATTTCCTCACCTCCGGTTGATTTCATCCAGCCGTCGAGTGTGTGAGGTGTTCTCATGGTTGCAAGGTCTGGACTCTACACAGAAGCACACCCGCTGCACACCCACTGCACCTCTTCCCTGCTTCCACACACTGCTTGTCATGTTTGGTTTTTGTTAATCTTCCTTCAATTTCTATTTTTTTTTATGAGCAGATACATAGAATACATAGAAGTGTTACTTCAGATAATCATTCCTTTGTGCCTTCTCATTTAACAGCATGCTAGAAATCCATGTGTTAACAAATAGTGAACTCTTTTCCTCTTTTACAGCGCAGTGAGTGAATGCACCATTATTTATTTGGCCCTTCATCTCTAGATGGGGTGTGCAGGCTGGTTCCCTATTTTGTAATCGTGGACTGTTGCAGTGAATGACCTTGTGCTGTTTTTCAGCAGAGTTTCTCCAGGGTGAATCCCTAGAGGTGGCCTCGCTGGGCTGCAGCTCTGTGCTGAGAATGCTTGTTAGATGTTGCCGTACTCCCCCAGAAGGGTGGTGGTCGTGTCTCATTCCCCCAGCCTTGTGTGAGCGTTGGAGATTTTGTCGTATTTGTACCTTTACGCCAGTTGTATGGGTGAGAAATGGTATCTTGATACTTTTAATTTGGAGTTTCTACTTTGAATAAGTGTGCTGTTTTTCTTTCTTGTAAACTGTCCATTTCTTTTTATTTTTCTATGGAGTGTTTGGCCCCTCTGTTGTGAAGTTTCTGGTATATATTGACCCTTGGTCAGTCATACGTATTGTAGGTCTTTCTCCCAGTTTGTGAGATTCTTTATTTTGTTGTGGTTTGGTTTGGTTTTTTGATTATATGTAAGAGATTTTTTTGCCATGTAGTTTTTCTGCTTTTTGTTTTTAAAATAGATTAATGTGAGGTATTTGTTGTTGCTGCTGCCTATTTTGAGTCCTCAGCTTTTCTCTGTACCGAGTGAGGTAAAAAGGAAATTTTTCCATCTTTTTCCTGATCCTGTTTGTTTTTTTGAGATTCTCTGATCTGTTTGAAGTTTATTCTTACGTGTGGTGTGAGGTGTGGGTCCGGTTTATCTTTTACCAGATGGCTGACCACTCACCACAGCCGTGTATATTGAAAAGTCCGTCTTTGCCTCAGTGGTGTGAAGTGCCATCTTCATCATGTTCTGACTTCTCATAGACACATTAGGGTCTGTCACTGGGCTCTCACTTCCCGGCCGCTGGTCTGCCCATGCACGTGCCTGCTCCGCTCTGTGGCGATGGTGAAAGCTTTGCCGTGTGCTTTCATGGCCGACAGCACCAGTTCCCAGTTATTTCAGTGTTTTCTTGAGTGCTTGTTTTCTTCATGTGGATTTTCCTGTCAGCGTATCTAATTTCTAACTTCTTTCAATATTGAGCAGAGAAAAGGTTTCCATTTGTTGAAAACTTTTAAGTATCTGCATGGACCATTGCCTCCCTGTAGATTTTACACATTTTTTGGTAAACTTCAGTGTTTATTCTTTTTGTTGTTATTATAGATAGGATTTTGCTTCTGTTCTATTCTGTAACAAGTTGGTTTTATTTCTGTGTTAGTTTTATATATTTTGAATTACTGGATGGGTTTTAGATTTAATTCTTTAGGGTTTTCCAGGTACTGTATAATGTATCATATGGAAATAGAGGTAGTTTAGGCCAATCTAAACTGCCAGGTAGCGCTGGCAGTTGAATCCATAGGACTGCGCTACATCCCAGCCAGGTAGTCTTTTGGTTCTTTTTTTTTAGGTTTATTTTTAGGTAGGGTCACACTGCGTTGTTGAAGCTGACCTCCGACTTACAGGCATGTATCACAATGCTCGGAGCTCTTCCTACCAGTTCTGAAGCCGTTTTTGCGTTCTTCTAATCAGCTCCATCGGGGAGGACCTGTAGCGTAGTGCTGCTAGCAGTGGAGATGGTGCACTTCACCTCAGTGGAAATGCCTCTTATGTATCTCCATTCAGTGAGATGCTGGCTTTATAACCAAGGTGTATAATATTCCCATCCTGGGGCATTATCCATCTGTTATTTTCTTGAGTGTTTTCATCAGGACTGTGCATTGACTTCTTAGGCTTTTTTGGGCATCTGTGTGAAGGTAACCATATGATTAGTTTAGGCCAATCTACATGGTTTAGACTGTTAATGGCTTTCCTAATATCAAGCCAATCTTACATTCCTCAAATAAACCCCATGTAGTTGTCATGTATTATTGCCTTAATATGGTGTTGAATCGTGTGCTAATAATGATTTCTCAGTTGTCTGTTTAGTTGGAGTAAACTGTTGACAGTGCACGGGTAGCACCAAAGTTCACAGACGTGTGTTGGGCCTTTGCTGCCCCCTGCACTGGTATCCACTGGTCACTCCCGAGTTTTAAACTAGCGTGGACCTATTTTAAGTGACTGAATGTTTCGCACGTTGATTGTAACTACTGATGACCATCCCAGTATCCCTAAAGGTGTTGTTTGGATTTGTATATGTTCACTTGGCCCTGATAAATATTGGTTACTGTGAATTAACCTGAAGTCCTGTTTCCGTATTGGTATTTATAGTAGCTGAGCCATCCTTAGTGAGATGCAGCGGGGGAGCACAGCCAGTTTCACAGGCGCCTGACTTTCTGCTGAAGGTCTTATTGGGGCCCATCTTGTCAAAGCACTCACCTCCCACATGTCTTCCAGCTGACAGTGGAGCTGCTAGGAGCGATATTAACCAGCACAGATTCATCTCAAATGAAGAGAACTGTGATACAAACAAAAACATGGGAGCACTGTGTCTGCTCCTCTGCGCCACTTCTGTCTGGATCCCAGGACCAGTACAGGCTCAGTGCTTTCCTAGAGGGACTCAGGACTCGGCTAAAATGAGGGTGTGGTCGTGCATTGCAGCGGCACAGTGAGGATGCAGCGCAGGCATGTAAAGGAAAAGGACACTTAGGAGCAGGGAGTGTGGGGAAATCCAGGCTTAGGCTTCCCTTAGTGCCCTCCAGGCAGGGTCTCAGAGCTGGCCCCTCCCCAGTAGCAAGCTGCATGAGTCTGTGTGTCCCTGCCCAGGGAAGCCCCCTCCCCGCGTCTTGAGCCTGAGGTTTCCATCAAGGCTGGTGGGTTATACATGTACTGTCCACTGGGGCTGGGGATATAGCTCAGTGGCACATGCGCCTGCCTGGCAAGTGTAAAGTCCTGAGTTCGATTCTTGGTACCAAAAAAAAAAACAAAAAAACATGTCCACTGATCATAACTACTAAAGCTCTAGACCTGCAGGAGGCAAGCGTCTCCCTGTGCACTGTGCTCTTTGTAACAACAGTCTAGCGGACGGGCACAGGGCCTTCCCAGAACATCTCAGTTCCCAGATGCCAGCCGGGCAGCTGGGCAAACAGGCCCTTCTGAAGTGCACTGACTGCTTCCTGCTCACTGTGCTGTTCCTGTCGTTCTCTGAGGGGTTCCCTCTAACACTGCATTTCTTGTTTCAGTCTGAGCCCCAGCTACATCGACCTGACCGAGTGTCCGTACATGTGGCCCTACTGCTCCCAGCCCATCTACTATGGAGGAATGCCAACAATCGTCAATGTCACCATCCTCAACGGCATGGGAGTTACAGGACGAATTGTAGATAAGGTGAAACCTCTCTCTGACTTGTTGATGACTTAGATATGGCCCAGACCTTTGTGCTTTAGTTATCTCTGCAGAAGCTAAGAAAGGAAAAATGCTTCTCATCTGTCTAGGGTCACAGAGCCGCTGCAGGTGGTGGTTTGCCATGCCCTAAGTCCTTGTACAGGGCATGAGTTAGGGAAACCAGTTTCACTTTTTTATGACAAAGTACTTTTGATTCTTCGTATTTTGTTCCTTGATAAGTGTGAGTGGGCTTCTGTGTTTACAAGGTATGATCGTTCTTTTGAACTTTGCTTTTATAATTTTTTGATGACTTAGTTTGTAGGCATTATCACAACAGTAAGGGGAAAAAGAGTGGAAAAACTCACTTCCAGCCCCAGCACTATTTAAAAAATATTTACCAGTCCCTTACCTGAAATACATACTTTTTGTTATCCTTGTGTGATAGGTATAAATTTACTTTTTCAGTTCTCATTATGGTCTAAACCTTTAGAAAGGCACCAGTGTACTTTTAACGTTTTTTAAACATGATACTGAGTTGATATAATTTATTTACTGTTTTCCCTTGCTTGAGCAATTAGATGGCTTTCAACTCTGAACATTTCACTATATTTGAGTGTATGCTTTTCTTTTCTTCTGAATCATTTCCTTACCATAAACTCCCTGATTTGGAACCCTGAATCAGAGAGTATGAACATTATTAGGGTTGTTGGCACATACAAATTCTTTCCAAGAGAGTACATCAGCTTAGATAGCAGCTGGTGGTGTTTCGAGCGCACCTCTCTCTGACACATCTGAGTCAGTGCTACATCTTTTTTACTCTGTTGTTTCATGAGGTTTTTTCAAAAACTGGACATAAAATTTATATACCATGAAACTTAACCTTTTAAATGGTTTGATTCAGTGGTTTTTCCCGTATTTACAACATCTCATTTCAAAACATTCCCATCACCCCTTAAAGAAATCTTGTACCCGTTGTAGCAGTCACTCTCCATCCTCTCCCCTCAGGCCCGGCAGCCACCAGCCTGCTTTCTGTGTCTGAGTTTGTCTGCTCTGCACACTTCATGTAGATGGACTCGTGGCGTTTGTCTTGTGACTGGCCTCTCGCTGGCCCTCAGGTTTCAAGGTTCACTGTGGATCAGTGCTTTGCCCCTTTTGACGGCTGAGTATTACTGCACTGTTGGAGCAGGCCCTTGGCTTTTGTGGGTGGTGCATCTTTTGACTTCTCATTTAGAGGGTTAAGGTGAGCACCTTGTTTAATGGCACTTTCAGTTGTGAGGTGGACCTCTCCATCTGAGTTCACTGACTGTATTTCCTGTTTGAGTTACCCTTTCTTTTTGTTGGCCCACTTTTATACTGGGGTTGAGATTTTTCTCCATTGGTACTAACAGTGTCATAGCCACTGATATATTTTATTAAGAAAGTTCCCGCCAGGTTATTGTTCTCTTTGTTCCATATTTATCTTTCTGTAAAATTTTACTTTTTGATGTAGTTGGAAATTTTTCTTTTGTGATTTGTTCTATTGTTGTGAAGAGTAGAAACGTATCCCTGCAGAGCTCATACTATCTCAGTTTTAAATTGCCACTAATTTTCCTGTTAAATCTGAATTTTCTCACCTGTGTCAGTTTGCTGTGTGGCATAAGAGATGGATGAAAGTTAACCTGTTTCTAACCAGTAGCCCTGAGAGCATTCATTAAAAACCGTGTCCTTCCCACTCTGTGATGTTGTACCCTACAAATATTTTTCTTTCCCAGATTTTTTAATACACTGACTCACTTGGGGAGTATACCCTTACTGTGGCTTTTGCGGGAAGTGAGTAGTTCAGGGTCATTTGAAATAATGGCTAAGTATAAGCGCAAGTGTGTGTTTCTGCCTGACGGTCCCCTTGCTCTCTGCCTTCCTCTGGTCGCAGAAGGACAGCAAGGGCAGTCACACCACAGCCAGGCCCACCTGCATGCAGCGGCCCCTCACTAACTGCAGGTTTTGATTGGGGGAAATTGATGTTCATGGCCTTTCAATGAATGTGATTCAGTATGCAACTAGCAGGCATCTAACCTCAGATCAAGAGATTTCATTTATATAAGCTCTTTTTTCCCTCCTTTTTGAAACAGGGTTTCACTCTGTAATTCAGGCTGTCCTTGAATTCACTGTGTAGCCTAGTCTGCCTTCGAACTCACAGCGATCCTCCTGCCTCAGCCTTCTGAGTGCTGGGCTTACAGGCACGTATTACCATGCCTGGCTCATACACGTTCTCTAATCAGAATTCTCATCAAAGAACTTGGCATGTGTACCCTTTTCTTTATATGGAGGAGGTCTTATGAAATTGGAGCCTAAAACAGTGACCTCTAGTCTACTTAGAATCTGTGCATATACATTTCATCTTCGCCAGTGTAATGAAGTACAGAATTTTTTAAGAGCTGATGTGGGTGGTGGAGGAACTGAGCTTTACCTGGTTCTGAGTGTGCCTGCTCTGTGCCTTCGCTTAAGCCTGGCCTGGTTTATTTCTCCTGCAGCCTGACTGGCAGCCCTATCTGCCACAGAATGGAGACAACATTGAAGTCGCTTTCTCTTACTCCTCGGTGTTATGGCCTTGGTCAGGCTACCTGGCCATCTCCATTTCTGTGACCAAGAAGGCAGCTTCCTGGGAGGGCATTGCCCAGGGCCATGTCATGATCACGGTGGCTTCCCCAGCGGAGATGGAAGTAAGCAGTGCCAGAAGTGGCTTGTTTCTCTTCACCTTTTCCTGTCCCTGTCAGGAAGGGCGGGAGGGGCAGCCTTAGTGCTGAGATCTTTACAGTTTACAGTGCCGTGGACAGACAGGGTGAGCCTTGTGGGCATGAGCAATGACCCAGGGTCTCTGAGCAGCAGAGCCCACTGCCCGTTCTGCAGACGGGACTGGCTGTTGTTCTTGGTGTGGCACCAGGATGAGCTTCGTGGCAAGGTTTCGAGCTCAGAGTGAAGGCACTGGAAATGGCCTTCTCTAAATGGAAATGTAGGATCATCCTGTGTAGCTCTTGTTTTTTGGAACAAAGTGCCTTAAATTTTGTCTTCAACTCTTAAGAGTTTGAATGGAATTAGTTGTGGCACATTCAGTCATACACACGCATATACAAGTTCTGATTTTTGGGGGTTAAATTGGTAAATAGAAATCACCTCTTTGAACCTGAAGACTTGAAGGGTTTTTTTCTAAAAAAGGGAACATTTCAAGTTTCTGGGTTTTTTTGTTTTTGTTTTTTTTTAAGTCAAAAAATGGTGCAGAACAGACGTCAACAGTAAAGCTTCCAGTTAAGGTGAAAATAATTCCTACCCCGCCTCGGAGCAAGAGGGTCCTCTGGGATCAGTACCACAACCTCCGCTACCCTCCTGGCTACTTCCCCAGGGACAACTTAAGGATGAAGAACGACCCTCTGGACTGGTAAATAGCTCCCGCGCTCAGCTGCTCTTCACCCTGTCCTTCCACTTGGGGCTGAGGCCTGTGTTCTGCCGCCTTTGGAGCCCTCACCAGCCCCCTCCTGTGAGGCGCTCGTGAGTGTAGTTAAGTGTGCAGTAAGAACCTCGCTCTTTCCCAGACTGCTCCCGTTGTGTGCGCCAGCACATCGGGCCCATCGCACTGTGAAGCTGTCTCCGACCGTTCCCTGTGTGGCCTTCTGCTCCGCCCCCAGCTGAGGCCACGCATTCCTTCTTAGCCTCCTGGTGGGTCTCACGCTGTTGTTCTTGTTCCCCTAAATTTCATTTCAATTCATGTTTGAAAGTAAGCCACAGTTTTCAGTGATAGGCCAATAAAGGGGAGCCTGGGCGTGAAAGTACAAATACCATTATGATTTCCTCCACCTTCTATTGACTGCCTCTCTCAGACTTGTTCACATGGCCAAACCCCCTGGGGTGAGCTGCCTGACCCTCCTGGGATGGCGCCGCTTCCTTCCCCGGCCCTCACGTGGCCCTGGCCAGCTGCTGTCTCATACAGGGCCGCTGGGCTGAGTCTTGCCCCGGAAGCCAGGCTCATTTATGTCGTCCTCCACTGGGTTAGGCACCATGTTCCTTCAGAGGTGACCAGGCAGGCCTTTGTTGGGAGTGAGGATGGGGCATTTTAGTTAGTGCCACGGCTTATTACTTTTCAGGAATGGTGACCATATCCATACAAACTTCAGGGACATGTACCAGCATCTGAGAAGCATGGGCTACTTTGTGGAGGTCCTCGGCTCTCCCTTCACTTGCTTTGATGCCACGCAGTACGGTGAGCAGAGGTGGTATGCTGGCAGATGTTCTTCCAGCCTGAGTAAAATGTGTATGAAATGTTTGAGGGCGAACCACAGCTTTCAGCGATAAGCCAATAAGGGGAGCCTCAGCGTGGTCCCCAGTTCCTGCTGGATATGTGAACAAACTCAATGACCTGCATGCCAGTTGCAGGTTAGGGTTGTAACAGTTTAAATACAGATGTGTCAGATCGATAGGGAATAGGAACATTTATAGTCTTTAATTAAAAGAGTCTCTAGAATTGCATTTTGCTCCTTAAATATGTGAAAAATCTTACATTGAGGATAAGTGAAAACCAAAACCACACTTAGCTGTTCCCTGTATATTGTTGGGCTCTGATTCTTCACTTTTCAGCCTCTCCTGTGGTGGAGGTGGTACAGGATGGCACAAACCAAATGACAGAAGCCAGTAATTTGAGGTGTGGATCCCAGTAAAATAATGTGTTTCTGAAACAGTGACATCCTGTCACTCAGAGGCCGTAGTTCTGATGTGGGCACTTTGTCCTGCAGGAACCTTGCTAATGGTGGACAGCGAGGAGGAGTACTTCCCTGAGGAGATCGCCAAGTTGAGGAGGGACGTGGACAATGGCCTTTCTCTTGTCATCTTTAGTGACTGGTACAACACTTCCGTTATGAGAAAAGTGAAGTTTTATGATGAAAACACAAGGTATGTAGGAGTTGGCGTTCGGCTAAAAGCATGGCTTTGGAGGAGTTACATTTGCCCTCGCAAGTATTTTTATGACTCTCCAGCCTGGCACTGATTTTTCTAGGCAACAGAGCAGGAGAGGAAAAGCCCTTTGTACATACAGGACAAAGTTGCTCATAAAGTAAGATGTTGGTTGATCTGAAGTGATAATTTAGCAGCCCATTGTCTTTATCTATCTTAGATACAGGGATATAGTTTTGTTTCGTTTTTTTTCCGGCTTCCCATTTCTTTATTACTGAATATATGCAACTTTAAGTGCACCAAGGGAGCTATTATTTATAGAGAACTTCTAGTTATTCTTGATCAAGGGTTCTTAGCATATTGCAAATACATCATCCTTATACTTTGAATTTTTCTCTTTGGAGTCTGTGGCTTGAACTTTTGTAAGCTGCTTTCTCATTTCTTTTGCTTCATTGATTTTGGCTAGGTCTGGGCTAAGCAGTTATATGTGATACATTCCAATGAAGTAGAGTTTTGGTTCATAAAATGAAGCCATAACGTGTTCTGCACGTTGACTAAAGCAATTATGTTTGCAGGATTGTGGCAGGAGACATTTAGTTCTGTCATGGAAAGATGAAGTATATACCAGGGGTTTTTTTGGTTTGGTTTGGGATTTTTTTGTGGTACTGGGGATTGAACATCCCCATTTTGAGACAAGCACTCACTCAGTTGCCTGGGCTGGTCTTGAACCTGTGGTCCTTCTGCCTAAGACTCTCCACGTGACAGTGTTTTGATTCTTGCCCTCTGTGTACTGTTACTCCCTTCACAGGCAGTGGTGGATGCCAGATACTGGAGGAGCCAACGTCCCAGCTCTGAACGAGCTGCTGTCTGTGTGGAACATGGGGTTCAGTGATGGGCTGTATGAAGGGGAGTTTGCCCTGGCGAACCACGACAGTAAGGCTCGGTCTTGTGTCAGAGGGTGCTGCTGCTGGGGCGGAGGAGCACACGCTGAGGCACAGGATTCGGGAGATGATGTTTTCCTTCGTAAGCTGGCTGGGGCTGAGTCAGCACTCCCAAAAGTGCTTCTGTAACACCATCAGCCATTCAAGCTTTGACTTGGATTTTACAATGAAAATATTTTATATAAGCATTCTAATTTCAGTGCCACCAGTAGGGTCTTTCTCAGCTGTATCTTCTCAAATGGGAAATAGCCCTAGGTTCCTGGTTATTTATAAAATTTTGTTTGTACATGGCCCATTTAAGTTTCCCCACAGATAAATTTTTGATTCTGATCTCTAGAACAATGTCTTGAACATTGGGGTTTCCGGTTTTGCAAGTCCTGACAGGTTGTTGTGAGTCTTTGGGTTCTCTGACTTAGAAAATCTGTTCAGAATACATATGCTAATAGTATTTTTTACCTGAATTTTGAGGCATTTATTTGTAGTTTAAGTGTGATAAGGCAATAGCAGCTTTTGTCTTAAGATTAAAAACAATCTTTAAAAACACACGCTGTCTATAGAACGTGTTTTGGGTAAATTGGGTAGCTGTTGATCGAAGCATTCCTTGTTTCTGTAACTTTGACCAACTGTTTTCCAGTGTACTATGCATCAGGATGCAGCATCGCTAAATTTCCAGAAGATGGCATTGTGATAACACAGACTTTCAAGGACCAAGGTAAAGTGCAGTGCTCATAGGCTCTTTAGTTCCTTTTTCTCTTTCTCTTCCTCACCCCTCTCCCTCGCTCCTCTCCGTTTCTTGGCTTCTTTTGATAATAGCTTTATTGCATAGAACTCACACTCTGTAACGCCCGCCCCCCTAACATACCCAATCCAGTGGTTTTTAGTGTATGCACAAATTGCGCATCCACTGCCACCTCCCTCCTGACCCCACCCCAGCCCTGGAATCCAGTCAGTTCTGGTCCCTTGTAAAACTCACTGCATTGCTGTACGGTGCCTGCCTTAGCACAGCTTCAGCGGGCTTAGTGGAGGCGGAAGCGGCCAACACAGACTCCTGACAACTGCACTGTGTGTGTCTAGTGACCACTACAAATGAAGTGGAATAGCCGGGCACAAGTGTTTGTTTGTACGTATGAACTGCTCTGCTTCCCATTGTCAGATGACCGTAGGAAATTTTTGACTGTTCTGAAGTTCTTTGCTGTGTAAAGATAAAAGGCGCTAATTATAGAGTGGCCGCTAAAGTTCTGAAGATGTGTTCTGTTCAGCTTTGCTTCATCTATAGGCGGACATCAGTGGGTGTCTGTGACAGCCCTGAGTGCACAGAGCCCCCTGGTGGGCAGGGGGCAGGACGGGCGCCTCTGCCTCTGAAAGCCGGGCAGGGCAGCAGTGCAGAGGAGCCCAGGACGTCCTTCCTCTGCCTTTGCTCGAGTGCTGGCATTCTGAGCCCTGGGCCCCCTCCTCTCTGACAGACACAGCGAGGCTGTGGAAACATGCAAGGTGATGCTGTGTGTTTGCAAGTGACAAGCCTCTGATACTGTAAGATTGCTATTTTCTGTGATTGAGAGGGACAGTTTTATTAGTTGAAAATGTGGAGCTTTAGTATTTCTCAGCTAATTTATTTGCAGTTAGAAGGTAGAACTTCTATTTATATTACCTGGAAGCGTTTTCCTCCTCTTTTATCAAGCAGGGTCAGTCAGTGAGCAGGTCTGTAGTTCCTGTTTTAACTTCATGCACATTGTGATCTTGTCTTCCAGCCCTTGGCACAGTCCCCCGAGGTTTGAGAATTCTGTCTAAAAGCAGTTCTCACAGGCAGCCTCACTTCTGGTGTTCCGTGCAGCAGGGGTTAAAAATGTGGTCTCCTGGCTCGCTGCCCTCCTGCAGCTCATTGTTCTGGTGGTGGTAGCAGGGGATCTAAAGTAGACACGGGATACATATTTTATTTTGTCTGTCTGGTGTAGTCTGAAGGTAAAAAATCAATTGCCTTGGTTTTAAGATGAATAATCACTTGGGTGCAAAGTAGAACTTTGAAAACTCAGGTTGTGCTGGATCAGAAAAGACGTAGTGTCAGAAACAAAACCCACTTCAAGCCACGAGGCCAAATGACAACACGGCACTCACCTTCCCTGCTCGGTCTTCTTCCCTCTAAAGAATATCGCGCTTTTTCTTCCTTTCGCTCCTAGTGAAATGATACACAGCAGGTAGCAGTAGTACACTTATGTAGCTACAGACATTTTAGATGTTACTGACACAGCAAAGTCTGCTTTCTGATGAAGCTGAGCCCCATTTGCCAGCACTAAGGAAAGCATTTGCTTTAAGGGTAATTATTCTGGGATTCTGTGTGGACAGCTGCTGCCTGTGACATTCATATATTTTTTTTACTTTTTGATTCATTAAACATTTTAGATATTGTCATCTGTTAGGACAAAGGTAAGACTAAGAAGGTTCTGCCATTGAAAGTTCATATTTATAAAATTAATGTACTCAAGTCTAAATTGAAAGTAGTGTGGATATACATTTTAAAAATCAGTTACATTTGTATTCCCATTGAACAATAAAACACAAAATCTCTGGTGTCAGTCTGTGTAACAATCATGGACACCTCAGTTTAGCAAGAACTACTAGCTGGCTGTCATTGTAGAAAAGGTCCAAAAATAGGCCTCTCGGCATAAAAGAAAGGACAGAAGTTTGTGTTTTAGGATGAAAAGGAAGAAGTGACACATTTAGGATTGTAAATATTATGTGCTACTGTTTAAAGTGAAAATGAAAGAATAGATATAGGAGTACACACAAAAGTGAATTCTACTAAAACCAAAATTAATGATATTTAAGGCTTTTCTGCTCTAAAGGTTTGCAGTGTTTCGACTGAATACTATTAGATTTTTGCTTTTTTTTTTTCACGGTCCCTTGGATTAAATCTCAAATGGCAACTCAGAAATATTCCTCAACCCACAGGCTCATTGCTGCATTGTGTTGTTTCAGGATTGGAGGTGTTAAAGCAGGAGACAGCGGTTGTTGAAAATGTCCCCATTTTGGGCCTTTATCAGATTCCAGCTGAGGGTGGAGGCCGGATTGTGCTGTATGGAGACTCCAATTGCTTGGATGACAGTCACCGACAGAAAGGTATGAGAAAAGCAAACGGGATTTAGCAGATAGGGCTCACAAATCCCTTCTTCCCTTTGTGCCCGAAAAGCAGTGATGAAATGCTGGTGAGTAAACAGATACCGTGCTCATGCGAGCCCGGGAAAGCTTAGAAAGTTCCAGTGGCTTTGGTGCTAGGAATATCTTGATAGCATTTAATAAGCAAAATAAGCCTATCTTTGCAAGCTGCAGTGCCTTTCTCCATGTTCTAGCCCCAGAGCCAGTGGGCCAGTGTTACCACACTGAGTGCCCTTTGACCCAAGTGACCCAGGTTCTACCTTTCCTGGACCCCCTGCTGAGTTTTGTGCATCAGGGATGCAGTGACATGCAGGCACGCATGCACCCTGTTCTGGTCTCACCCAGCCTTCAGGCCATGCTGCCTGGAGGCCCTTCCCCTCGCTGTCACCCAAGACCTGCAAGACTGGGCTTTTGAGAGCCTTTAGCAGTGAGGCTCTTCTGTTACATATTGAGGGGTGAAAGGGAGCAAAGGGCAGTGAAGTCTAGAGCTCTTCTTTCTGCTTGTTTTCAGCCTCTTTGGTGCAGCTTCCAAATGTGGGGATTGGGGCTTAGACACAGACTGTTTAATTTCCTGATTTTTCTGAAGGAGGAAATAGGTGAAAGTGTCATGTGTGTTTATCTGGTGAGATGGTGACAAAACCAGAACTGAAACCTGACTTTGAGGGGCTGCTGGAGAGGGCTGGGTGGGGAGCTGGCGTAGGGGCCCAGCGTCCTTGGACAGCGAACTAGGTGGGAACCAGGCCTGGCGGGGTGAGGAGGGCTGAGTGGTGCGCTCCTCTCTGACTTGAAGGTTCGGTTGACTAAACTCCAGGCATTTATATAAATCCTGAGAATATGCTCGGCCTTTTTAAAATCAAAAATGAGGGTTAAAGTCGCAGTTCAAAGATTAGTGTTTTATTTCCACAGAGATTGTCTTTTAAGATCTAAGATCTGGTAAGAGTCTTTATTAAAATTTTAAATACCTCAGAGACTGTCCTCATCTTTAAATTTGAAACAGCAGCTTTTAGGATCTTTCAGGGCCTTCGTGCACTTCACCAGAGTGCTCTTTTGAGAGAGAAAGGCACTTGGCAGCGTGTTCCTCTCCTGACGCTCACGTCGTCGAAGGCGGTGCTGATGGGCTGAGCAGGCGGGCTGAGGAGAGCAGGGTGGAGGCAGAGTTCCCGCTTGGTACGGCAAGGGCCTGTCCGGGGCTGTCAGTGGGGGCTGTGGCCAGTGCGGGGCCTCAGCCCCAAGATATCCCCAGAGAAGAATCAGCCACTCTGGCGGAGACCCCCTGACGCAAAGCCCAGCCCAGGACTCGGCCATACGTGGACCTGGAGCTATGTCTCTGTGGTGTGTGTCATGGTGGGAGCCCACTTCCCGCCCCCAGGAGCACCTCGGGACGGCGGCGAAGCTGAGTTGCTGCTGTGCCGTGTTCTGCCCCCTTTTCCTTGGTGTTCTCCAGACTGTTCTTGCCTTAGTAGGTGCCGCATGGTTTCTGAGCCCCACCCTGTGCTGGTCTGGGACGGGCCCGGAGCACTTGGCCCAGCCCAGTGACCGCGGCACGGCCCTGCCTGGAGCCCTGGGCACCGGGCGTGCATCCCCTGCTGGCTGCTGCTGCGTGTGCACGCTGGCCTGGGTGGGCTGCAGTGCCAGCTGTGGAGAGTTGGCTCCCACAAGAATAGGGGGCCTGGGGTGAGCCACTGTCAGTCTGACCTCTCTTCTGAGTCCTAGATGCGTGTCTGCCTGTCTTTTAGCAAGCTAGCATTCTTTTACTTTGCTGTAGAGATTCCTTTTTAAAAACCGGATTCCTAAACAGCATGCCTGTTGCCCCACAGACTGCTTTTGGCTTCTGGACGCGCTCCTTCAGTACACCTCGTACGGGGTCACCCCACCTAGCCTCAGCCACTCGGGGAACCGGCACCGCCCTCCCAGCGGAGTGGGCTTGGCTGCCCCTGAGAGGATGGAAGGTGAGTGGCCTCAGCGCTGCTTCAGGACGTGGATTAGGGAGTGTCACCAATGGCACTTCTTAACAGCTGCTGGTGCAAAGCCAGCAGGGTCCCGCCTCCTGCTCCCAGGGTGGGTGGACACTCAGGGACTGTGTGCCAGCCCTCGTCCATGCTCCCTGCCTCCTTACAGGTGAGACCCCTGCCTTAGGGTCTTCAGGGTCAACTGCCAAGACACTTGGGCACTCACTTGGTACCAGGCACTGGGCTGGGGGTGCTTCATAAGGATTAGCTCACCAACACCTCCCACTAATCCTTTGAAAGTAGATACTAGTACTTCAGTTTACAGATGAAGAAATGGGGCTCATGGGAGCTAAAGAACTGCCCGGGTCAAAGGCAGGTGGGCAGTAGAACTGGAAGCTGGACCTCAGGCCTGTGCTGGTGTTCTGGGGCCTCCCACTCTATATGGCAGGACGGGCCGCATACCCACCCTGCCCCCAGCGTTCCAGTCCTCTAAGCACTGTCCCTAGAAAGGAGTATGATGTCATTTAAAACCTTCCACCAAACTTTTAAGATCTCCAAACCTTAAAAAAGTAAAAAGAGGAGAGGGGAAATTCATTTTAATAATGTACTTTTTAGCACAGTACATCCAAAATACCATCTAGACATGTGACACCGAGTGTGTGTCACTGCTCAGTAGCAACATGTAGCTAGTGATTATAGTACGGGATGGAGCAGATCTGAGTAAGTAGGGAACGTTAGAAATGCGGAGAATTAAATATTTCGGAAGAAAAAGATATTTTCGTGACCACATCTATAGGCTCCTTGAAGGTGGCCTTGTGTGTGGTGATGGTCAGCAGGGTTGGCTGCCCAGTGCCGTGTACACAGGTGGCCAGTCTCAAGGGAACAGTGCGGGGTTCCCCACACTCCCGATGCAGTGGGGGACACGTGCCGTCTGGGCGGCACTCGAAGCGTGGGCCCGAAGCCTGTGGGCAGCTGCAAGGCACAGGGGGTTCAGCAGGAAGCGCAGACAGGTGAGAAGCCACGTCTCCTCCCTGTATGCTCCTCGCAGTGATGGTTTGCTTTCTTGTTGACTTGCTGCTCTCCACAGGGAACCATCTGCATCGGTACTCCAAGGTTCTTGAGGCCCACTTGGGAGCCCCGAAGCCGCGGCCTCTGCCCGCCTGTCCGCACCTGTCTTGGGCCAAGCCACAGCCTTTGAATGAGACGGCGCCCAGGTCAGTGTCTGACTGCACTCCCTCTTCTTCCCCAGGGCTTATGACTCATCCTCTTCTTTAATAGGAGAAAATGGAATTTTATTGGTGTTATTATCATTGAATAATCAAATCTTCTAGCTTGAACCCCCATTGTGACCTTTAGAAATATGCTCTTTGGTGGCATCCTGCATAAAGGAGTGAGTGCTGGGAGCATCAGCTTCGTGTTCATTTAGCCCATATTTGAAAGCTGTGGTCCAGCTGTGCTGCCACTGAGCAGCAGCCAGCTCTGTGCTGGGGAGCTGAGGGGTGCTGTGCACAGTTATGCCACAATCCAGGGTGTCGGTTATAAGATACAGATAGGGCCCTGTGCCACCCCCAGGGCAGAGGCTGCTCTGGGTAGGTGTGGATTCTGCTGCGGCAGTCCGGCCAGGAAGAACGTACATTCGCCTCCTGTCTGGTTATGTGGCTGGTGAAGTGCCTCAGTCTTAGGGAGCTCTGACTTGGTCCCCCAGTCATTGCATATGTGCATGGAGTGCCACAATGCGTGCCTTTCTCTGTCTCGCGTCTAAGCCAGTCTCTTGATTTGCATCATTCTCCTTCAGTTGCCAAATCTTGAGTTACTGCTGTTGCTGCTTTCTTCAGCCACGCCAAGTCAGTTGTCTGAACTCACCTGCTTTTTTCTCTCGAGCAAGGCAGTGTGAGGTGAATGGGGGCTTCTCCTGGCGTGGTAAAGCAGGGGCCGGGTGTCCCAGGACCTACTGGCTCATCTCCTGGCCTTCACTGTCTGGCACCCCTGCACACACCTAGCCACCGGTACCCTCTGGAGAGGTCGCCTGCCTTCTTTCCCTGCCCTTGAGGCTGCCATTGTGCTTGGGTGAGTGATGGACAGGCCTAGCCTGGCCGTGGACAGATAGCAACCATCCACGCTGTGACGGGGAGGAGGATGCCAATGGACGACATTGAAGTATTCTTGGCTTTATTGTTCCCCTCAGACAGAAAGGACCAGCCACACCACTTGGTGACCATGTGCCTTCATTTGGAATACGCTTAATATTGTGAAAGTTGTGGATATCACATTGTCTTCTCAGAAGCAGTTTTCTTTGTGAACCTTTAATTACTGAGTACTTTTCCCTTCCAGTTAATATCCCATCATTTAAAGCTTTAGATACATTTCCATTTTTGCATCCTGTTTATTCATAACCTACTATTATCCTAGCGTGCGGAGCAGACCTAATTCCAGACATGGTCAGCAGTTCCTCCCCAAAGGACAGTCAGTGTTAGCTAACGTTCCGGAGAACAAATCATGCTCCACAGTGTTGTGCAAGACTGAGAGAGATAACAGCACCCTTTGCAATCCATGTCCGCGTCAAACGACCTGTCAAAAGCTGAACCCCTCAAGGGTGTACATAATGCACTGCTCCCAAAATGTGATTTTGCCTGTCATTTTCAGTAATTCTCCTTAATACACCGCCACATTTCACATTTATCTCACATTTCACATCTTGTTGAAAATTATTCTCAGTCCTTGGAGACCTAGATAGAGGCATATTCTGAATCTCTAAAAAATATTTTGAGACCAGCTTTAGATAGCTACAGGCCATGCCGAGGGCAAAATTCTATGTTTTTAAATTACAGATTTTCTGGTTTTTCACTGGATGGCAGGTGTCCTTACTTAGAGTCACTGTCTGCGGGCGTGTCACCCCAGAAGGACCCCCTGCTTGGACAGACCCTCTGTCTTTCCATCATGTGCTGTGAAATTCTCAGGTGGCAGCACGAGGGTGCTGTTAGCGCAACTGCTCCACCGGGAAGTGCCGTCACCAAGTAATTAAGGTGGACAGCACTGCTCGGAGGACGGCGTGGCACATGCACAGGTAGCTTCAGCGTCAAAAGCTTACCTGCCATTTGCTTGCATCACCCAACTTTGTCAGTTAAGTTTTCCAGCCGATTCACCCTCGTTGTGAAGTTGGGGCATGCGAAATGGACCTGGTTACAATCCCCAGTGGCATTTCCCATGGCACAGTCAGCTGGAGCCTTGGCCACTGCTCCTCCCTGCCAGCAGGCTCTACAGACCGACCTGGCGTGGGCTGCACCCTGGTTGCTGCTGATATGACTGGCATGTTTGCCTTGACCAAGGCAAAGAGCACAGGTCTACAGTGTCCCGAAAAATAAACAGCACAGACAGGGTCCCCTCTACTTGTAGATGTTTCCCCTTGGGTTTCCACTTGCACTCTTCGCTCTAACCGCAGCGGCTTCCCAGGCTGTCTGCTGCTGTTGCTGTGGGTTCTGCAGTTCTCATCACATTGGCCCAACCAGGTACCACAGACCTAAGGGTTAGTAGCTTCTACAGGGCACACCGGTTCCACAGGCGGGGCAGCTGTGAGTTCTGCAGGTTCGTACACACTCTGTACTACTTTTTACATGGGTGTGTCCTGTTCTCATCCAGACAGTGACTTCCTGAGGACGTGATGATGTCTGGTTCCCGGCACCCACCTGCCCCCCTTTGCTGCTTTGCTTTGTGCTTATCAGAAATCAGCAACGACTGCTCTGCCACCTCAAAGAGAGGACCTGGTGCTGCCCTGCAGTCCCAGCCCGTGTTGCTCACCAGGCTTCAGCTCCTCCGTGCACCCAACTGTCCTCTCAGGTTGCTTGGCAGTGTTTCTGGCAGTGAACCGCTATTGGCATTGTTACAAACCCAGTGGGATAGGTCCCTTCTGGAAGCATGGACTTGACTTGGACATTCCTGCCTTGGCCTTGGAGGCGGCTCTTTGCTCTGGTTGCTCCACAGTGGCAGTGAGGCCTTAGATACGGAGATGCCTCAAGGTGCCCTCTAGATCACTTGCTACTTCTTAGGTATCTCTAAGCTCCCTAAGCTGGTACAATTGCTTATCTTTATTTTGTTTTAATCCCATTTGTCTGAAGTAATCTTTGGAAACATCAAAAGTTGCTCTCCATCGACCTGGACAAAGTGGTGTTACCCAACTTTCGATCCAATCGCCCTCAAGTGAGACCCTTATCCCCTGGAGAAAGTAGCGCCTGGGACATTCCTGGAGGTGAGGCTCAGGAGCTTTGTCATTGTGCTAAATTGTTCCATTTGTCCCCTCAGGAATGGCCCCTTCCTGTCACGGCTGTGGCGGTTCTGGCTTTGTGTAATACAGTCAGCAAGGCCAAGAGCAGGTCAAGATGAGGACCTCATTTCTCTAGGAGAATTCTACATAGACTTTCAAATTTCAGTTTCTTTTATATTAGCCAGGTGATACTTTGAAAGTTTTCTGGAGTAACTTTCACACTCTGAAAATTTTTTAGTCACGTATTATGAACCCCAGGGGGTGCCTGTCCTCTGAGGGTTTTGCAGTGGCCTTGCTGACTCCCAGGGTTTCCAGTTCTCTGCCCCAGCTGCCTGGGATGGCGCCTGGTGAAGCTGGCCTGTGGCCCTGGGGTGACATGTCCCGCCCCGTCGCAGAGACTGCCTTCAGCCTGAGCTGGCTACTTGGGCCAGGCTCTTCTCCTGCAGCTGAGACGATTGGCGCTCAGTGACTCCAGTGAGTGTGGGCAGCCCCTCTGTGCGGGACAGCACTGCAGTGTCGCAAGAGCTCGTAGCTCTCCGGCGGGTTGCTCTGGACTTCAGTAATGGCAGGAAGGGTTGCCCCCGCTCTGCAGCCCTGCCTGGGAACTGCTGAGGGCCTCACATGTAACTCATAGCAGCACTGATAGCAGCGAGCTCAGAAATCCTTGGTGTGGCCCAGTTACAGACCCTGGCACTCCAGCCAAGGGTCCTCTGACGGCCACTTGGCTTTTCAGCTACATGCCACATCCATGGAGGGCTGTCCACCAGAGGGACATGGCGCACGGCCCTCACTACCTACCTCTTCCTTCCTGCCACTGAGCTGAGGGGACTGCGTCAGGCCCCTCTCCCTCCCTAGATGGAGACTTGACCTCCTGTTACTTTCAGGAAAACAAAACGCCTCTTGCGACGCTGCCGTTGCAGGCTGTCTGTGACAGGAGTGGGGCCTGTGTCCGCAGGGAGCCCCACCCCACCCACCAGTGAGAATGCGATGGGCTCCTTTCACCCACACTGTGTTGCTGGCCTGGTTTAAAGTGATGTTAATGAGCCCAAGGTTTAAAGTGACACTTTTGCTGCAAGCCTGAGTGGTGAAAGTAGCTGGCCTTCAGTTTCTGGCAGTTTCTGGTGTGTAGAGGCCGTAGTGGTGGCACTGACACCGTTGACCGTTCCCTGTCCTCCCGCAGGGATCATGCCTGGCCGCTACAACCAGGAAGTGGGCCAGACCATCCCTGTCTTCGCCTTTCTGGGAGCCATGGTGGTCCTGGCCTTCTTCGTGGTACAAATCAACAAGGCTAAGAGCAGGCCAAAGCGGAGGAAGCCCAGGGTGAAGCGCCCACAGCTCATGCAGCAGGCTCACCTGCCCAAGACCCCGTCCGTGTGACTCGCGCCGTGGCCTTCGAGGATGACTGTGGTGGGCAAGCAGAGCCCTCGAGGGTTTCCCAGGAGAACCCCGTCTTCAGCTGTGACTCCGGCTGTCGGTTCTGCAGCGGCCTCCGCCTGTGACGTGCCCAGGCCCGAAGTACATCTTGAAATCCGTCGTGGCCGGGGACCCAGCGAGGGGTACTCGGGCTCAGCCCAGAGCAGTGTCATGCAGCAGCTGAGTGCACCAAAGACTCGGAGAACTTAGAAGGCTGTTGGCCTCTGCCCAGCGAGGGAGGAACTTTTAAATAAATGAAACAACCTTGACCAAGTTAAGATATGCTTGTTAAAGGCTATTTTCTATATTTATTGTTGGGAGAAGTCACTTTAAAGACTTATGCTATTCGGAAGCAAAGCTATTTTTTTTTGTCAATGGAATGCAGTTTTGTACTATTCCACCATGAAAAGTCACAGATCCGTCGTCTCCTTTGTGATGAGAGGGCAGACTGAGATCTGAAGAAACTTGCACAAATCTGTGAAACATAGACCTTCGCTTTATTTTTATAAGTACCAACTGCCACTGTGTTTTGTAATTTGGGGTCTTGGTTTCACCATGGGTGGTGAAGAAAATTTTCAATAAATATGCATTACCTTATGAAGCTGGAAAGTGCTGTGTAGTGGCTCTTCTTCTGCCTGTCCCATTTTTCTGAGACAACATGGAGTGAGTTCTGAGTTAGCCTGCTAGGTTGTTCTTTTTAATGGGATATAAACATTTCCATTTAAAAGTGTACAGTTCAGTGAGCTTTCGTGTATTCACTGAACTGCGCAGCCCTCATCACTCCCCACCTAATTCCAGAACATTTTCAGGACTCCCCAGAGCACCCCTGTACCTGTTAGCGTGACCGCCCCCCTTCTCTCCCCACCCGCCAGCGCCTGGCGGCCAGTGTCCTGATCTCTGTGGCCGGGCCTGCCCTGGGCATGTGACATCAGCGGGATCACGGTACGTGGGCTCTTGCCGCCGCTGCTTTCTCCTTACATCAGGTCTTCAGGGCTCATCCGTGGCGTGGTGTGGCGTGTCAGAGCTCGCTTCCTCCTCCTGGCTGAACACGGCCCCACTGTACAGATGGAGCACGGTTTGTTTCTCCTTCACTGGTGGATGGTCCCCTTCCCAGCTCTTGTGAAGCAAGCTGCCGTGAGGTTCCTGCGTGCGTTTTCGCCCAGGAGAGATGGATGATTCCGAGTCACCTTTCTGAGGAACTGCTGACCTTTGCTTCAAAGCGGCTGCATCCTTTCACACACTTGCCAGAGCTTGGATCCTTCAAGGGAGGGTCCAGTTTGTCCACACCCTCACCAACTCGTGTTATTTTCTCTTTTCCTAGTTAAAGCCACCCCGTTAGGGTGAAGTGGCATCTCATTGTGGTTTGATTTGCATTTCCCTGAAGACTAATGATACAGAACTTGTTTTTGTGTGTTCGTTGGTCATTTTGTTAGAGTTGTGACACCCTCAGCCTCACATAATTCCCTTGTGGATGTTTGTTGAAGAGTATCATTGACCATTTGTGTATCTTCTTCAGAGAAGTGTTGCCCTCTTTTAATGGGATTATTTACATCTTTATTCTTAAAGTTGTGAGAGTTCTTTACATACTGTACTTCAGATAAAATCCCTTAGCAAACTTGCAAGTATTTTGTCTCGTTCTCTGGGTTGCCTTCTCACTTTCTTGATGGTATCCTCTGAGACATAAAAGCTTTGGTGTTTTTTGAGGGGATTTTGTTCCGCTAGTTTTCCTTGGTTGCTTGGGTCATGTCCGAGAAACGGTTGCCTGATCCGAAGCGGCCTGTTCCGGTCTTGTCCCTGCCTGACAAGTGTGTTCTGTGTGCCTGCGGGCCAGCTGCCGCGGCACGCGCAGGGAGAGCAGGGGCGCAGGGGTGTGGCAGGGAGGCAGCCGCGAGCAGGAGGAAGTCGGGAGGGGAGAGGGGGAACCAGTCGGGCCACCTTGTGCTTGTGGCTCCGCACTGTTGGCAGGTACCATGGGTCCGCACAGCGCTGGCTGCACTGGTGGCTGCTGTTTTCTGCAGGACTTCGTATGTTCCCGAGAGCCTGGAAAGCTCTCATTCCGTCATCACTGCCCCGAGGGGATCAGCATCGGTCACTGGGTACAGTGCTCATTGTCAGCAGATGGCCATGGATCTGAGTGTGGCTTCTGCTGTCCAAACGAGGGGCAGTTAGCTGTGGGGCCCTCGTCTCCCTCCCAGGCCTCCATAGGCGTGGGCCTCTTACTCTTGGCTCCTCAGCACTGGGACAGCTGGGTCACCGGTGCACCCCTCGCACACAGGTCCAGACGGGTCACAGGAGTGAGGAGGAGGGCAGCGGATGGTCTGAGAGTGGGCCGTGTCTCTACTCACTGCAGCGTACTCTGTCCCTGGGTGCACCCGGTGGCCCTGCTTTGCAAGGCCGCTCTTGCCCCTATCATGGATGTCCATTGTCGGTCCTAGTGAACTGCTGCATCTCTAGAAACCACAAGAGAATCGTCTTCCAGCCTCAGCCACAGATCCACCTGGGGGTCCACGGGCGCTGCTGGGCTCCCCCGTTCTCGCTCTCCTGACTGCAGGGCCTTTCGCAGTGCTGCGTGGTGACTCGGCAGGGTGCCCTGGCCCACCTCAGCCTGTCCCGTGTCCCTACAGCCGTGTCAGGCCTTTCTCTGCCCCATACTGCCTGTGCTGTACTTGTGTACAAGAACGTGCCCTGCTGCATCACTCCGGACACCACCCGCAAGGACAGACCTGCAGAAGCCTGCCTGGCAGCAACCGCACTGGCACCTGCCAAGCACCTGCCTCAGCATGGGCCAAGGTGCACTGGGCCCCCGGTGCTCTAGGCCTGCAACACCTAGGTAACCCTGAGCTGGCCTGGCCTGAGCCCCAAAGGCCTCCGTAGTTTCTGCTAACCCTCAGCGGGCGGAGGAAGCCCACTAACCAACAAGGAGGCCCTTTGACCTGGATCAGCTTAGGAGCAGAATGAAGTCGGGACTTCTTGGAGGGCAGGCTGCCTGCTCATATGTACACTAAACAGACATTTCCAGCGAAATATCACAATTCCTGATTTTTTAAACTGTCCAAGTAGATCTTAATAGAGGAGACTGGTTGCATTAGCTGGTGATGCAGAGGCATTGCAGGAGGGTGCCTGGGAAATACAGGCTCAGGGCCTATCTCCCAACCCGCCAAGTCACCTCAATGGGAAGGACCTGAAAATGTGTTTCGGAGCTCCTCTGGGGTAAAGTTACTGTACAGCCCCGTGGCTTACTCCGGGGCACATCCCCAAAGGAATGAAAGCGAGTGGGTAATCAAAAACGCTGGGACGGAGTTCACAGCCAAAGCACACAGTGGTCAAGAGGCAGAAGCACACTGGGCCGTCTGGATGCCATGGTCTCTGGAGACCAGCGTCCCCCTACCATGGGGGGCAAGGGGGAGCGCAGTCCCGATCCATGCCACAGCATGGCGAGCCTCAGACACAATGCTGAGAGGAGCAGGAAGGCACAACGCAAACGCCACATCATGTGTGACCGCATTTCCACATGTCCAGAGGAGACAGACCCAAGGATTCAAAGCAGGTTAGTGGCTGCTAGGGCGGGGGTAGGAGCTGTCTTCTGGGCTAAGGAAAATGCTCTGGAATTAGATGGTGGTGGCAGTGGCACGCCATTGTACATGTATTTAAAGCCACTGCAGTGTACACTTGACAGTGGTTAGAACGGTGAGTTTTCTGCTAATTCTCCCCCGTCTTCCTCTCGCAGGCACACATGTACCTCCGCAGGGCACGTGACTGGGACAGCTCCCTGGGAGGCCCTGGTGTGGAGACTGAGGCAGTCTGGGCCCTCAGACCCAGCCTGAGCAAGGGCCCCTGGGGTTGGGAGCCATGGCCGCAGACGCTGTGGCTCCTTCTGTGCTTGGCCCTCCTCTTGCAGCTGCCAGTCCCCCCTCTTCAGCAGGCAGAAGGACAGGCACAAGAGCATGGCTCCCATGCTCTCCAGCCCTTCAGGCCGCAGCTGCTGCGCCAGCCATGTCAGTGGCAGGGGATGGGGGGGCCATGGGGGCTGGGAGCCCATGGCTCAGGGTCCCTGCAGGTAGGACTGGAACACAGGAGCCAGTGTGTTCCCCTCCAGGTCCTGCGGTAGTAAGTGACCGCAAATCTCGGGGCTTAAAACAACATTTTGAGAGGTTGGGAGCCTGAAAGTGATCTCACTCGCTGAAGTCCTGGCGCTCGTCCTCCAGGAGGCTGTGCAGAATCTGCGTCCCAGCCTCCCCAGCCCAGAGGCTGCGGCAGACTTGGCCCTTGGCCCCTCCCTGTCTTCTGCCCCACCCCCACCCCTGCTATCTGCAGGGGGCCTTCTCCTCTCTGACCTCTGACCACTCTGATGACATTGGACCCACCTGGGTAACTCAGAGGCCTTGAGATGGGAGAAGCTTTATGTCCGTTCACATTCTTACAAGCTCAACAGGTTAGGACGAGGACGTTTTGGAACCCTCATCTGCTGACCACACCGGGTTTCTTGATCCTTAACGTGGCATGCATTTCCGTGGGAGGACTTTGGGTTCCAGGTGAACTGCTGCTGCTGGTGCCACCTGTGCCTCAGAGTCCAGGGCTCCCAGCATGGCAGGACACGGAAGCCTTGCTCTGCTCCTTCAGTGTCCTGGACGTGCTGCGCCAGCATCTGTGAAGCCACCCCTGTCGGCGAGGCCGGGACTGAAAGCTGCAGAGCAGGAGTGGCCATGAGCTGAGGCGCAGAGGGCCTGTCGGAGGCCCTGCCTGCTCAGGACGCAGCTCAGAGAGCGCATAGGCTGTCAGGCTTCCTCGGGGAGCATGACGGGAGTTCTTTCCCACCCTGCTGTAAGCCGTTACTCTGGGACTCCAGGGAGGGGCTGGCATGGCAGTTGAGAGGGTCCTGGGGCAGCTAAGGTTGCACAGACATTCTAGAAGGCCCCAACTGGGCAGAGGCTGGGAGACAGACACACACAGGGGAAGGTGACATGCACTCCTGCTTAACCACCAACAGTTGGCACCTGTCGTCCATGCCTTCCCACCGGCCCCTCCCAGCAGCCCCAGGCAGGAGGCACCATCACCACGGATGACGCAGAAGCAGCCATCAAGTGACAAGGCTTCCATTCACCTACACTGCTGGCCGCGGAGTCCTGGCTGCCACCTGACCCAGAACTTCCTAAGGGGTATGAGCACAGCGGGAAGAGCCTAGGCCACGCTGCCCTGGGAGTCCATGGCTGTCCCCTGATATGCCCTGCGGGCAGGAAGAAGGGGTCCCCAGGAACCCCTGATGAACAGGGAATGCAGAGGGAGGTGGCCATGTCTCACGGTGTGCTCCTGAGTGGGTGCTGTGTGCCCCTACCTGTGTGGTCCCCAGGGCTCCTCTGTGCCCCCCTTGCCAGCCCTCCACACCAGAGCTGGTGCCAGGCCTGGCAGGCTGGGCTGAGTGCAGGCGGCTACGGCTGCAGATGAGGCCCAGCAGGGCGCCCCTCCATGGCTCGGGAAAGGTCACGAAGCCCTGTGATGCCGCCTGCAGAGGGTGGATATCAAAGCCCCTCAGAATTAAGAGGTTTTCCCCATTGCATGGAATTTCACAGCCCAGTGACCAATTTCTAAGTCATGCACATTAATGGGCAGCTAATGAGGGACCCTCGGCAGGGACAGGAAAGTGCCTGCACCCCTGAGCCAGATTAGGAGAACAAAGCCCCAGCCGCTGGTGCAGGGCTTCTCAGCACCTCTCTCGGGAGGCCCGGTCTTGGGGAAGAGAGAGTAGCTTAACTGCTTGAAAGCCAGGCTGTGTGAACATCGTGTGCAGCCCCCACCCGAGCCCCAGCGCCTCACAGTCTCTGCTGTGCCCTGTGCCACGTTCCCAAGGCCTAGCACTTACGTCTGTCTCACTGCCAGGCAGCTCTGAGCCACCGGTGGTGCCTGCATGATTGTCCCATTGGGACCACTGGTGGTTCAAGCCACCACCAGGAGCCTCCTGGGAGCCTCGGGACAGTGTCCTCATGTGAAGGAGACAGTGATGGGTGTGGTGTAGCCACAGCCAAGGAGCCCAGCAGCCACCAGGAGTGGAAGAGGCAGAGGACGGTCCCCCAGCACCTCCAGAGGGAGCTCAGACCTGCCCACCCACTCCTTGACCTTAGAATTCTGGCCTCCAAAACTAAGAGAATAAATGTTTGCTTGGTTTTTCTATTTTGTTTTTTTAGTACTGGAAATTGAACCCAGGGCTTTCAGAATGATCTACATCCCCAACCCCTTTTTGTTTAGTGTTTAGACAGGGTCTCCTAAGTCACTAAACTGTCTCTCCATGCTGGGCTCTTACTTGTGATCCTCCTGTCTCAGCCTCCCAGAGTTCTGGGATCTGAGCCGTGTGCCACCAGGGCCTGGCTAAATTCCTTTCGTTTCAAGCCACCAAGTCTGTGGTGTTTTGTTACAGCACTCTCAGAGACCTAATGCAGTGGGGAATCTAAAGGACTTCCCCTTTTCTGGAGTCTGTGTATTCATTCATTCATTCCGTCCTTGACAGAGCCATGTCAGAGTCAGCTTAGGGCCACCAGACAGTGTGACATCTCAGCCTTGGAGGGGAGACAGAGTCCGGTGCCAGGCCCAGTCCCAGTCCCGTCCCTGACCACAGAAGATGCTGCAGGCTGCCTGCTCCACCAGCCAGAGCCAGGCCCTGCTCTGGGCCAGCACGGCTGACTCAGGATTCAGTGTAAACATTTGTGCAAAGCCCAGCTTTTGGGGCCAATGAAGATGTCCCCCCAAACTCCTGGACTTCAGAGCTGGCTCCCTTTCCACGCATCTATGCTGAGAAGCTGGTCACAGCTAGCCAGGTATTTACAGAGCACCTGCTTGGTGGACCCTCAGGGAGGCAACCAAGCCAGGGGGCTGAGACTCTCAGCAACCGGTCAGTGAGAAAGCCCTTTGGGGCATCTCTCAACCAGGCTGATGGACCTGGGTGGGGTTCCTGGCATCTAAGGTGCTTGGCTCAAAGCAGCAGCTCTCAACAAGGGGCCCTGGACTCTCAGCATTAGCAGTGCCTGGGAACTTGTTATAAATGCAGATTCCCAGGCCATGTTCCAGGCCCAGTGAGGGAGAAATGCTGGAGCTAGGGCCTGCAGTGTATTTGAACAGTGCTCCAGAGAATTCTGATGCCAACCTCAGGGCAGGAAGGGCGGTGAGGGGGAGCCCCATTTCCAGGGACAAATAGGTGCAGATTCAAGATTCAACATCATCTGCATCTTCCCAAGCGGGGAGGGCCCTTGCCAATATTCTGCAGCGTGGCTGACGTCTGTGGGCACAGAGTACAAGTGTGGCTCCAGAGCAGAGCCCCAGCCTCCCCAGGGCCACGTCCACGGTGGGAGGAATCAGCCTGTGCTTCAGCAGGGCCCCTAGTAAATGCGGGCACAGGGCTAACCTGAGGAGCCTCATCCCTGGAGGTGGGGCAGGAGGCAGTAAGAGGGGTCTAAGTTCCATCATGCTCCCTTTTGTAGATGGGGACACAGGGTCGGCGAGTGACGCTGTCAGCCTGTGACACTCAGCTCAGTACCTTCTGCACCCCTTCCTTAAGCTAGGGCCTCAGAGGGGCTGTGGACCCCAGGCCCTGGGTGGAAGGAGCTGAGCCCTGCCCCCTGATCATTCCCCGCTGAGCTCCCTCTCCCCTCCAGGGCTGCTGAGAAAGCCCCACCCTGGGGAGGGGCCTGTGAGGAGCCTGAGTCTTAAGATGCCCTGAGTAGGTCAGCAGCTCAGAAACTGCAAGCTCGCAGACAGGTGGCCCTGGCTCCTTAGCCCTGCCCCAACGCATGTCCCCTAGGGCCCCTGAATGAACGGATGACTCAGCCCGTCGCTGGCAGCCCTAGGTTCTTCCTTGGTCCGCTCCCGCCACCCTGACCCAAGCGATGCGGCCAAGACACCTGGAGGGACCCTGAGGCCTGTCCCGGGAGCGGAGGCCAGCGCAGTCCGGCCCCTCGCGGTGGGATTTGGTGGTAAGGGCTAGGGCTTGGGCACTGGGTGCAGGAGTGGGCAGGCGTGGGGGCATTGGGGGTTGGTGAAGAGTTTTGGAAGAAAAGAGGAAAGGAGAAAGTGGGCTGTGTGGCCTGGGGGTTGAGAGGGAGGATGGAAACGAGAATAAACAGGGTAAAAAGTTAGCAGCAGGAGAGCCAGAAGTCATGGGGGCGGGGTGGGACAAACGCCTTGAGCTTTGACTTTGGCAAGTGGGGCCAGGGCAGAGGGAGGGGGCTGGGGGGGGCTGGGGGAGGGGCTCTCGTTCTTGTAAACTTGGGGAGAGGAACCTGCCACATCTCGGAGTGAGACTTTGAGCTGGGAAGACAGGCAGGTAGGGAGTGTGGTGACTGGCTTTCTCTGCAGCCCTCTGTCGCCCCAGAAATGGAGGAACAGGTGGGAGGAAGCAGAGGCCTTGGAGAAAAGCCCCTTCCTGCCACCACCACCCCCGCTTTGTCCTCGTCGGGTGCTGTCTTCATCCTGTTGAAGTCAACCCTGGGGGCCGGCCTGCTCAACTTCCCCTGGGCCTTCCACAAGGCAGGGGGCATGGTGCCTGCTTTCCTGGTGGAGCTGGTAAGTGCCCTGGAAGGATTCGGGGGTCTCTTGGGGCACTGGGGAGGTGGCACTGGCTTTTCTGGGTGGGATCCTTGACATAGCTAAGGCAGAGCTGGTGGCCCCATGCCATTAATGGAGGGATGATGTCCCGTTGTAGCCGCAGGCAGAAGACGTCATCTTCGGTGGCTAGTGAGTCAGATCCACAGCTGAGCAGCTCGTAGGTAAAGGCCTTGCTGTGCCCAGTCTGTGAATCTGGCTTTGCAGCCCGGAAGGAAGGACCGCCTGGTCTCAGCTCATACCCTAGCTGCAGTCCCGTGTGCAGATGGAGCTTCACACAGGTGTGGCACTGCCCGCTAGCCCAGGCTAGGCTTGGCGCATACAGGTGTCCGCTCTCCTGCTGCTTTGAGTCTTGCCTGGGCTCCGCCTCAGCCATGGGCCCTTCATGTCCTCGGGAGCTACTCAGCCTGCCCCTTGCCTGGCGTGTCACATGAGCAAACCAGTGTGGTTCCTATCCTCGTGGTGCTTTGTTCTAATGGGAAGTCAGATGGATCATTGAGATGGGTCAATGGGACACATGGGTCATTGAGAGTCTCAGACGGTGGAGAAGCGGGAAGGTCATGTGCAGGGTTGGACATGACCCAGGGTGATCAGTGACGGCTGGGGAGGAGGTGAGGTACACAGAGCCCAGCACTTCTCCAGGTGCATGTGAAGCCCAGTGTCCCTGCATTTGGGCCAGAGCTCTGTGACACTACCATAGTAAGAACAAAGCTGGTCCCAAGCCATCATAGGGTCACCATAAAGAAGCAATAGGCTGGGATCCGGTACCTGGTGACCCCAGGGCGGCAGGAAGGGCTGTGGGGCCCATCCCTAACTGCACAGCTCTGACATCGTTCCCATAGCTGCTGTAACAAATTCCTGCAAAACACAGTGCTTAAAACCTCGGGGAGTTCCTTCCCACGGTTCTGGATGCCGGAAGTCTGAGACAAGGTGGCAGCAGGGTTCCCCCACCTCTGGTAGCTTCTGGTGGCCCCAGGCCTTCATGGCTTGTGGCTATATCACTTCCTGTTCTCATGGGGCATCCTTTCCCACTTCTTGTAGGGATATTTGTCATTGGATCTGGGGCCACCTGGTGATCCAAGGAGCTCCTTAACTCCATGGCCATGGATTTAACTGCGTTTGCATCACTGACATTGGCAAAGGCTGCGTCCAGTCTGTAACATACACACACACACACACACACACACACACACACATGCTGGGGATTAGGCTGTGGCCCATCCAAACAGAAGGTGCTGATGAACACAAATCTCCCCGGCACAATGCCAAGTAGGAGGAGCCAGATATGAAAGGGCCTGAAAGCAGAAAAATTCTAAGTGAGTGCTTTCCCCTGGGGGCAGGATGGAGGCAGAAGCTGATGGGGAAGGGGCCTAGGGCCGGAGTAGGGTGTGGTGGTGCTCTGTGTGTTACAGCGCGTGGAGCACAGGTGTGTGTCTGTTCCACCCCAGTGAAGCACGAAGGATTCCGCGTCTCCTCCTGTGTAAGCTGAACCCAAGAGGGAGAAGGATGGGGCTGGCGCTGTGATGGGCACACAGGAGTGTTTGAGAGAAAGACACTGACACCTTCAACTTCAGATGCGTCCAAAATCAGCCAGGCGTGGTGGCATACGGCTGTAATCTCAGCCACAAAGAGGCAGCTGAGGCAGTGAGATTGGCAAGCTCGAGAAACCAAATTTTAAAAAGGCTGGTGATACAGCTCAGTGTAAAGGCCTTGGGCTCAATCCCCCAACACTGCCAAAAAGTCAAATGATTGGTGCCGCAGATGGAGACATGATAAAAGGGGTACCAGGGCCTGTTCTTGCAGCCTAGGGTGTGTACTGTGAGCACTCATGGCCGAATTCTAACTGTCTTGTATGTATGGAAGGTGTTCACAGTAAATGCTGGGGAAGTACTGTATTTAAGCTGCCACGGAGGGATCCCAGGAGGAGACGAGAAGGACGCTCACCGTTCTGGTGCGCTCGGCCTGGGCAGGGCTGAGCCGAGTGCACCTGCCACATTTAGCATCCCTGGGAGGTGGGCGGCGCCTGCTCATTTCAAAGATAGAAAAGTGAAACTGACCATCTTCGCCACACAGCAGAGGGGTTGAGTTTGATTCCGTGCCCAGATGTGCCTGCTCCACCTCGGGCCTGATCACCACACCCTACGTGCCCACAGCCCAGGTGATTTCGAGAGTAGTTAGTTAAATACTGAGTTTCTTCGGTCTCATGTCCTGCTGAGGCAGCAGGGTGTCAGGACCCAGGCTCACAAACAGAGCCAGAGGGCCACAAAGATTCATCTGCTCTGTCGCTCTGGTTGCAAGCAAGGCTGTGGCGTATCTAGAGGAATCCCTGTCCCGCCTCCTCCTTGACAGGGCCACACGGAGGGTGTATCTGGGGTGGGCTGTGGGTGTGCCCAGTCCTGCCATCCTGTTCTGCAGGTCTCCTTGGTGTTCCTGATCAGTGGGCTGATCACCCTGGGCTATGCAGCCTCTGTCAGTGGCCAGGACACCTACCAGGGCGTGGTCCGAGGGCTGTGTGGCGCCACCATGGGGAAGCTGTGTGAAGCCTGCTTCATCGTCAACCTGCTCATGATCTCCGTGGCCTTCCTCAGGGTGATCGGGGACCAGCTAGAGAAGTGTAAGTACCTTTGCTGGAGCACAGGTGGCCCAGGGTGCAGAGCCTGCAGTGACCTGGGTCCCTGATGAATGGCAGGGCACAAGGCAGTGGGTGGAGCGGCCGCGGGGGACAGCAGAGGCCAGACCACACCTGCCCTCCAGATGTGGCACGAGGGAGTCACCAGCAGGACAACAGGGAGTGTGGGAGAGAGACCACCTGCCTCGTGGATGGGGAAACGGAGCCACGTGCACGCAGCCCCCAGCGAGACTCCCAGGAACACCTTTGCTCTTGGGCTGGCCAGGACTCAGCCCCCACACGACCGTGGCCTCTAGTCCCTAAGACCTTCCTTCGGGTGCTGCTTCACGGCATCTTAGTTGTACATTCTGTCTTTGTCTCCACACCATTCGCAGCATTTGTGAAGTTTAGAGGCAGCTTCTTTTTTGAACATCTAGGGAAAGTGTGAACTGAGTTTCATTTCCATTTGAGGAGTTCATAAGATCCCCTCAGGCTCTGCATTATGGACAGAGGACACCCTGGTGCTAGATCTGGAACCTGTCGCTAGGCAAGTGCTCTACCACAGAGCTACAGCCTTCGCCCTCTTTGAGATCTGTGAAGACGCTGTCTGCGGCCAGCACATGGCCGGTCTTGGCCGGCATCCCCCATGCTCTCGCGGCAGGTATGCTGTGGTGGCTGCAGTGTGTTAGAGGCAGCCCTTTGATGAAGGTGGTCAACAGCTCTGTTTAGCTCTTCCTTTGAAGCCTTATTGGCTTTTTAAAAATTTTGTTCTAGTTCTGTCAATATGTATGAGAGGGGTGTTAAAAACCTCCAGCTATGACTACAGCTTTTGTTTTTTTGTTGTTCTCCCTTTAATTTTATCAACCTCTGCCTGTGGTTTTCAAAGCTCTGTGACTAGGTGCATCTTTTCATTGCGGAATATTCTGCCGTCCCTCTGGCACTAAGTGCTGTAGTGAGCACCTTCTCTGCTGCAGTGAGAGCCAGCCAGGCGTCCTTACGACCCATGTTTGTATAGTAGGGATATTTCCTGTTCTTTTACTTCGACCTAACTATGGTTCTGGATTTTAAAATGCATTTCTTGTAGATGGCATATGCTTGAATCTTGTACTTTTAACCATCTTGACAATCTCAGACTCAACTGGAATGTTCTGATGTAATTGGAATGTAATTGTTGGTAGAGTTGAATGTAAGTCTGCCGTTTTGCTATTTTTGTCTCTCTTTTGACCCATGCATGAAAAGGCCCCAGCTGTGGGATTTTTGCAGTGAAGGCTGCCGTGGCTCAGGAAACTGTTCCACCAAGTGAGGAGCTGGCGTCTCCGAACCTCTTGGTGGATGGGTGTTCACAAAGCACCCTGCCTGCCAATGTCAAGTGGAGCTTTCCCCAGGCTTCAGGTCCAGGGAGCCGATGGTGTTGCTGTGTTGACGATCCTGAGGCTCAGTGTGACAGCACTGTGACTCGGGTACTGACCTGGAGAGGAGCCCCAGCCCTGGCTCTGCTTGAGTGGGGTGGAGAGGACACTGCCCGTGGGTTTCTCCTCAGGTATCTGGGGATGGGTCTGTCTTTGGCAAGCCCAAGGGGTGCTAAGTAAGGTTGGGGTGTTTAGGAGAGGCACTGCGTGAGTTAGGTACAAATGCCCCCTGCCCTGGGTGCTGAGGACCTCAGGGAGTGTCCTGGAAGTCACGGGTTTGGAAAGGAGCTGGGGGAGCCCCAGTGTGAGCGTCCAAATGGCAAGAGAGCCCAGCGGATGGGAAGGGCTGGGGCCCCGTCCAGCGTGGTGTGGAGGTCTGTGCCCTTTGCTTCTGCCTCCCCCAGCATCTATTCTGGTGCCTCCGGCCTGGAACCCATGCTCTGCCTCCACAGGGATGGCTCTGTACAGCAGCATGGCTCCCTCTGTGTCTTTTCAGCAGATGAGCTGTTCTCAAGGCATTTCTTTCTTTGCAAGGTCGGTCATCTTTGTTTAGAACAAAGAAAGGTTACTAACCGTGCACAGATGACCTCAGTCGGCAGGAGCTGCCTTCTCTTCTGGCCTCCGCCCTCCAGTGGGATTTGGAGCCGCCTCCCAGGGCTCCCAGGGCTCCCCTGACTCGCTCCCCCTCTGTCCTGCCTCTTAGAGCAGCTCCACGTTAACCATCTACTGGTCGCAGAATAAAAACAGCCCCAGGTTCTTTGCTGCTCCTTCCCCCAAGATGTTCTGTCTCTGGCCTTTAGTCAGGTGGCCTCTTGGACAGCTTTGTCCTGCGGAGTGTGGTGGACAGGACTCCATCCAGCTCTCAGCTTGGCTTCTATGACCTTGGCCTTGAGGAGCATCCCCAGCTGCTACAGGCACTGGTTGGGCTGACAGAGGCCCATGTGGAGGGACCCCGGGGCTGCAGGGTACCCCAAGTGTCCCACCAGGCAAGTCCATGGTGGCTCCAGTTTGACCTCAGGCAGCCCCTGAGCTCCTGGCTTAGCTTCTGCTCTGCTCCCAGCAGTATTCGATGCCCTCCTGCCCGGTGGCCCACAGCCCTGGTTCGCTGCCCAGCGCTTTGCGCTGCCCCTGCTCTCCGCACTGGTCATCCTGCCCCTCTCTGTGCCACAGGAGATCGCGTTCCAGAAATACACCAGGTACCCAGGCTGCAGACCGTGCGGTGGGATGATTGTGCCACCTGGGCCCCATCTTTGAACATTGGTGCAAGAAGGAGGTGGGAACCTCAGGGTTGAACCTCCTCTTTGGAGGAGGGAAAAAATGAGAAATCCAGCAAGTAATAGGAGCCCGTGGGAAAGAATATAAACGTCAATCTCGTTTTGTTATGTAGCTGTGAGAGGCGTTGCGTGCAGACTGAGATGCACAGGCCTTTTCTTCGCTCTGTCTTGAGGCTTTCTGGCACCATTGAAAGGAAGCCCGGCACCTGCCCTGCCCCCGCCTGCCGGCCTTTCCCTCTCCCTGTGAGCAGTGGGTGGTCCCTGAGACAGGAAGGGAGGCCTGCTGGGCGCTCCTGCCTGCGGTCCCCCAGGCCAGGCCGGGGCCCCTCCCTCCTCTGTGTCCTGACGCGGTGCCAAACCTGAGCGGCCGGCTGGCTGTCCTGGGGAAAGGAGGGCCATCACGGCTGACACCCTCGAGGGTGTCAGGCGACAGGAGGGTCCCGCAGGTCTGGCTCTGGGCCAGTGCAGCGCTGCCTGAGCTCCCCACATCACTGTCCTTGTACAGATGAGGGGACAAAGGTTCTGGTGCAGGTTGTGCGCTGGGGTTCAAATGCTGCCATGCTCCCCGAATACTGGCTACGTGTCACCTCGGGAGGCCCCTGACACTGTCCCCAACTGTGTGTCAGCATCCTAGGCACCTTGGCCGCCTGCTACCTGGCCCTGGTTGTCACCGCACAGTACTACCTCTGGCCCCAGGACCTTGAGCATGAGCCCCACCTATCGCAGAGGTGAGTCTGTGGGAAGCCTTTCCAAGGAGGGTCCCGCAGGTCTGGCTCTGGGCCAGTGCAGCGCTGCCTGAGCTCCCCACATCACAGAAGGCCGTGGATGGGCCCTTCTCTGCTCCTTCCCCTGGGGCCTTTGTGCCTCTGATGTGTGGGAGAGCCAGGGGAAGCCCCTTCCTCCAGAAAGCCCAGGGACATAAAGGCACTGAAGGTGCAGAGGCAGCGGAACCCAGTAGCTAGACACAGGTGCCCTGCATGATGGGGAGCAGCAGAGGAGGGGTGGCTGGGTCAGTGTGCACCAGGGCAGGGGTGGAGTGAGGCAGAGCCTCCCGGACAGCTTGGTCTGCTCCAGGCAAGCCGTTCGGCCACAGTGGAGCTGGCGCCTGCAGGCTGCTGACCTGGGTCGGAGACGGAGACCGTGGGGACCCTGCCCACACCCTGTGCTTCCGGCCGAGGAGCTTGGGGAGGAGGTGACAAGATGGGGTGAGGCTTGCTGCAAAGTGACCCCAGCTGGGGTTCATCACAGGAGTTCCTCTCGGTTCTGGAGCCGAAGTCCAAAGCTGAGGCACCTGAAGGCTGAGGGGAGGCTCTCCCCTGCTCTGCAGCGCCTGGTGGTGCCAGCCACCTCTGCTTCTTCGTCACACAGAAGCCTCGCTCTCCAGGCTGCCGCCTCCTCCAGATCATCTGCTCCCTGAGCGCCTCTTCTTTAGGGGCACAGTCACAGGGTGTGGGTCCCTGGCCCAGCATCACCCACCTCAACCTAACTAAGCACATGTACTGTTCCAGATAAGGCTGCTTCTGAGGTGTGGGCGTGACAGCGTGCGTCCCTGAAGTCGGCACATAAAACTGAAGGAGGTTGGAGCGAGCAGCCGCCAGGGCTCAGGGCGGCAGGCCAAGCGTGCCCCTTGTCACACAGCCGCCAGGGCTCAGGGCGGCAGGCCAACCGTGCCCCTTGTCACACAGCCGCCAGGGCTCAGGGCAGCAGGCCAACCGTGCCCCTTGTCACACAGCCGCAGGACCCCAAGCCAGAGGCGCTCCTGTTCTGTGCTGCTCTGTGGCACAGTCAGGGGCGGCTGGGCTTCCTGGTCACGAGATGCCTGTGTTTCCACACTGCGTCTGTCCTCCCGCTGGGTGGGCACAGTCTGGCCCTTCGCAGTCTGTGCCTCCTTGGCCCATGCCCTCCTATATACCACCTCTTTCTCCACTGATTATTCCCATCACCCCCAAAGTGCTCTGACCTCTGACCCCACCCCCACTGCCTGCTCCCCACGTCATTTGCGGTCTCCTCCTTGAACCTGCTTCGCCTTGGCTTGGCCCCCACCTGTCCCCTGACGTGGTTCGTCAGAGCACCAATGACCTCCACGGCCAACTGGGCTCACCTGCTATCTGGACCCTCACACTGGGGCTCCCCCAGCTCCTTCCCAAACCCGTGACTTCCAGGACACTCCCGAGGTCCTCAGCACCCGGGGCAGCGGGCATTTCTACCTAACTCTTGCAGTGCCTCTCCTAAACACCCCAACCTCTACTTAGCACCTCTCTCCAGAAGCTTGGGCTTGCCAAAGACAGACCCATCCCCATATTCCTAAGGAGAAACCCATGGGCAGTGTTCTCTCCACCCCACTCAAGCAGAGCCGGGGCTGGGGCTTAGCAGCTTAACACATACATACATACAGTTCTGAAGTCAGAAGTCCATCCCCCAGAGTCACAGGGTGGACTGAAGGGGAAAGCAGGGCTGGCTCGTTCGAGAGCTCCCAGGAAAATCACCAGCCTGTCACAGCCACCTGTTGTCCTTGGTTTGTGGCCCCTTCCTCTTCCTTCAGAGCAGCTATCTTGTGTCTGTCTCTGCTTTCTACCACTATCACATCTCCTTCTGTCTGTCCCTCCACCGCCAGGTGGGGTTCTCTGTCAGGGATACTGTGCCCTTCAGCTCACTTGAGTCACCCAGGGGGCTCCTTGTCTCAGGATCTTTAACCACCTGGAGTCCTTTTGACCTTTGAGGTGACAATGTGCAGGCTCCAGGACTAGGGAGTGAGCGTCTCTGGGGGCTGCCTGTCTACCACATCCAGGGGATGCTGACTGTGCAGGGGACACTTCATGTCCTCTTGTGGTGCCAGAGTCTGGTGCATACAGCATCTGTCAAAGGAAGCTGGGGCCACCGGGGGGAGTCCTGGGGACTTGACCCGAAGACTCTTGCAATGCACACCTCTGCCCTCTGTGGCTGGACAGACTCCTGGGGCTGCACTGGATGGAAGCTGCCTGTGCCCCCACCTTGCATCTAGCCACCTCGGGAGCAGGTGCCCCAGGAGGGAGATAGGACCCCAGTAGCCTCGGCCCTCTCAGACCTGCGTTCGGAGTGACTGCTGAGTTATCAGACATCAGCAAAGCTGTATTTCCCAAGTGCAGTGTGTAACAATCATCCTCTTCCATCCCCAGCTGGGTCAGGGACACAGTCATTAAAAACACGTCTCACGGCCACACTTGGTCACGTCTCCCTGGATCATTTAGATGTCCTCTCCCGTCGCAGGTGACCTGAGTCTGACCACTTCTTAACGATCACCTGTCCCTGTCTGTCCGCAGCCCCTCCTCCTGGACCTCGGTGTTCAGTGTCTTCCCCACCATCTGCTTCGGCTTCCAGGTGAGTGTATAACGTGGTCTGCAGACCCCTGTTCCCGGGGATGGCGTGGTTTCCCTCGGGCAGAAGCTGGAACTAGCTCTAGGACGCGGTGGCCGCGGCTGTCCTCGGGAGACTGCGCGTGGGACTGCACCTGGGCTCCCAGGGAGCGGGAACCGCCCTTGAGCTGGGCCCCGACCTGCGCCTGCAGCAACAGCAGCACTGTGCTTGCTGGGTGTGGGGCGCAGCGCAGACCCGGCACCCTCCCGCTCTCCGCAGAATGCTCCCAGCACTGTCATGGCGGGCACACCTGGACACAGGTGGATTCTGCCAGTGGCCCTTGGCTGCCGTGGCCTGAGAGAAAGTTCACCCTTTGGGAGGCCCCAGGCTCGAGGCCCGGGAGTGTCCAGGTGTCCTGGTGGTGGGGTCAGGGAACAGGACGGACAGAATCTTGGTAGAGTGTGCTGGGAGTGAGGACCCGGCCCTATAAGGCATCTGAGCAAGGAGGACAGGTGTTGGAGACAGCTGCTGAAGGTGGGGGTGCCAGAGCTGGAAGGACACATGGGAGGAGCCAGGTACAGGGACAGCGAGGTGGTGAGGAGGTGGGGGTCTGCTCATGTCCCAAGCAGGTGGCAGCCGATACTGCCTTTGCCCTTTCATGCATCCCTGTTTTGATGATTTGCCTCCAACTCCTCCTTTTTTTTTGGTCTTTTTGAGACAGGGTCTCGCTATGCAGTTCAGGCTGGCCTTGAGCTCACTTTGTAGCCCAGGCTGGTCTCGAACTCACA